AGTACAAATTTGAACAAGAAAACTAAAAATAATGCTACTCAATGTCACATACATTAATATCCGCTTATATCTCGGAAGAGTACAGTTAAGCCTCGACGTATCTGCCCATATCTTTAGCTTTGATATAAATTATTGTAATGAATTTGTTTGCTTTCAGTTGTGTTATGAAACTTTTGAATTTTAAAGTAAAATTTAATATTTTACTTTGTTTAATTTGCAGAGTTAACTCTCGTTGTAGTCAACGTACGATTAGAGTCTGTAAATCTAAAAATTTTAAAAAAGTAGCCAATATAGGCAAAAAGATGCTACAGCAGATACAATGAGTTTTTTAGTCTGCTCTTGTGTAATTTTTCTCAAAAAACAAATTTTTTGTGAAACGGTCCGCTTAGCTTACTTTATTTTAAGCTTTGTTTCTGACAGTTTTACTTGTTACTTATAGAGAGTTCAACACAATTAGACCATTACCAATAAAAAGCCTTTCTTTTGTCCTTTACACACCCCTCCCTCCCCCCCCTCCACCACCCTTCTATTTAACTCGCCCATAAGTCCTTACCCTACCCATCGTCAATAAAACACACTAACATCAAAGCAAAACGCCAGACACGTAAGAAACGTCAGCCGGTTGCCTCATAATTTTAGCCAAATTAAGCGCACCCCCCCCTTCTCTGTACGACCCCCCCCTCCAAATATCTTATCCGTTTCAAAACCGAAAGACAAAAGGCGAGCCGGTATGTAACACAACCCTCTTACTCGGCTTTTGGTGGATAATAAGTTGGCATCCGGCCCCTCCGGCCTTCCGGCAAGATAGCAAAATAGGCTCACTTTAAACGTCTTTCAAGCCTTCTTCGAATTTTAATTTTTTCCACCAAAAAACCCCCGAAATCCACGTCGAATGAATGAATGAGCTACGGATTTTCTAAAGCCCGCCGGGCCCTCGTTAGACGTTCTACACGCGGTTAAATTTAGAATGGGTTATTAATGCTTGGAGAAGGAAGTCGGGTTGGGGAGGTGATTGTGACGTTAGGGTTGGGGAGGTGATAAAGATAAGGACTTTGGGGTTGGAGAGCAGATAGTAACATTACGATTGGCAAAGTGGTAGCGATGTTATTTTTGGTGATGTGATAATGATGTTAAGGTTGGAAAAATGATAATAAAAAATTTTGCAAAAATTTTTTCGGCTTTTCTCAAAAAATACTTAAAGAGTCATCCTTACACTTCCCTATAGTACTTTATAAAGTGTTTATTATAGAAATAAGATCTTTTGTAAACCTTGTATTTAGATTATGAAGAAAATGCGAAAAATGGACTGCCTTATATTCAGCCTTAGTCTTAAATTTAGCCTTAGGTTTAACCTTAGACCTAGCTTTGAGGAGTGTAACTCTAGCCTTGACCCAAACTTACCTCTAATTTTTTAAGCATATCTCTTACCCAAACCCCAAGTGTAACTCAAAACCCAAATTAGTCGCAACCCATACCGCTTCAATAACATTGTTTTTATTACAACCAGACTAACAGTAATTTTTTTTTAATTTTAAAACACTTCGTCAAAAATTCAAATTTTCAAAAAACGACCAAAAACATTCCTTAAATTTCCGTAAATTCACCTTAATAATTGAAATTACAGTAACTATCCCAACCATTTAATTACAGTACCTATCCCACCTCACAAACATATAAACAAGTTATGTCATTCTCCAAACACTATACAACACCACTCTTCCCCACCCCATCAAAAGGTAATAACACCAAACCTCAAAGACACGTAAAAGTTTACAAAAAGTGCACAAGGAATGGCAGTGCCTTAAGGAAGTGGAGGATATTGGTGGATAAACAAGCCTGAAAGGCAGCTGGTTGCCTTGGTGAAAATTAACCCGAAATTAAGGGAAAGGCGCTACCCAAAATCCAATTTCTTTTCGCCCATTTTCTCAAGTTTTTTCTGCCCGTGCTTATTAAGTACCTGCGGAAAATAATAGAGCACTCATGACGTGCTAACAAGGATAACATCAAAAGCTGGCATGTTATAGTAATGTAATTTGAGATAGTTTTACGGTTTTTGGAAAGATTATTAGAGGTAAAGCGTCATATAAGCTACTACAGTTAATAAAATTTTCAAAAGTAGAGGTTATGACGTTTAGAACAGGCTAACACTTAGCCTCAGCCCATGGATCAGCCTTAGCCTTAGACTTGACGTTAACCTTAGCTTTAGCCTTAGCATTAACTTTGAAGTTAGCCTTAGCTTTAGCTCTAGCCTTAGCATTAGCCTTATCATTAGCCTTGACGTTACAAAAAGCTAATCCAAAAGTTATTCAAAAATGGCATATAATTGTGTTGTGACTACTGTGTAAATGAGATATCAGACTAATAATGGCATCTACGTACAAAGTCAGATATTATACCATAAACAAGCCGGAGTTATAATTAAAAGTGAAATTGTGTTTTGGTGAATATAAAGACAAAACAACCGGCTGGATATTACAGTACAGATATATTTACTTGGCTCTGAGGTGGTGGTATAAGAAATGACGTTATCTTTTCGTGTTGTACTGGTTTTGAGTACTATAGAGTAGGTATTGGTAGACAAAAAGTTTCTTTAACTCACCCCACTCCTTTCCTGCCCTACCCTACCTTTCCCTACTCTGCCCTACCCTAATCTACTCTGCCCAACCATATAGATATAGACATGTAAAAGTAAAAAAATGGCAAAATAATAATGAGTTGGAGCACGCAAAAGATATCTGTATGAATATCCTCATAGGTTCTCATTAAAAAGCTAAAAAATAAATTAATTTTATGCATATGTTAGCACAACATATCTCAAAACTAATTACTATGCAATACATGTTCAGTTTTAAACTAACAAAAGATGTTAATGTTTCAAAATGTAAAAAAAATATTTAAAAAAATAGATTTTAAAAAATATTAAGAAATTATATTAAATTGTACAAATAATTATGAGCCCATTCCAAAGCAAATTTGTGTTAAAAGGCATAGAATTATTTGAACAACTTAATATACTTCTTCAGCCTGAGCCTATGAAGCTATACATACTCTTGCCTACTATGCCCTGCCTTTCCTTGCTTTTGCCTTGTCTTGTCCTGTCCTGCCCTGCTCCGCCCTGTCGTGCCTTGCCTTGCCCTGCCTCGCCCTGTCGTGCATTGCCCTACTCTACAATTTCCTTTCATACACTGCCCTATCTTGCCCAACTCTACAAATCCTTGCCATACCTTAGCTCACCAACTCCTTTCCTACACTACATTACCAATTTTACCCTACTCCTTTCAAATTACCCTCTCCTCAACTGCCACACCGAACAAAACATGCAACATAAAGCCAATTTGTAAAATCCAAGCAAACATTAAAAAGTAATCCAAAATCTTTTTCTCATGACCACCTTGAGCCCAAAAAACTCTCATTTCTGAACCGCCAAAACCGGATAAAGCCGGCTTTCGGCCGCATTCTTTTGGGTTTCTTATGCCATTTTATTATTCTTAACGCAAAATTATTATACATTTATCGTTTATGAATACGTTATTGCCAGTTTTGTTTGCAATTAGCCTTTAAGACTTCTGAATTTTGATATTTAAAATCATTTTTTGATAAAACGTCATTTTTTGAAATTATGACATAACGAACTATCATTATGTTCGAATAGTCCTAAGATAAAATAAATTAACTATCTTGTAGAACATACTCAAATTAATATGTTGTAAATCTTTTTTTTTCACTGCCTCGAAGGCTTTTATATAAAAAATCGCCTTTGAGTTCATAACAATATGGCTATACCCGCACTCGAAAAAATGCCATAACTTTTTCAAAACGTCTTTAAAATAGCTACAAATTGGTACTAATAAGCGTCAATATCATAGGTAAATTGTGTAAAAATACTAAGTTTTTAAACCTTATTAAAAAATTTTAAAGAATTAAAAACTAATCAACCGTCTGTTCAAACCTAAAGTAATATAACTGTTCGTCTTATATCTGTTGACAAACGAAACTAAAATAAATAAGAATTTACGTATTAAAACATTATTTAGCTCTAGCACAACCTAGAAAATACAAATGTCGAAAAACTTCGCGGCAATTCATACAGTAAAAGCTCAAAAACCACCTACCACCTCGGCCTTCTGTATACCTACAAAATAGAACAATAACTCGCTGCCAAATTATAATGAGTAAATGGAAACCACGTAAAAGCTTATTTGTGTTTTTTGGTTCAGCCGACTGGCAGGTGAATTTCGGACCTTCAGGCCCAGAGGAGATAATCAAAATCTCAACGGCCCATTCGTTGCCACAGCTAATGAGAGTCGGGCGGGTCTTACTACGTGCCTATTTAATAATCCATTCGGCGGGCAAATAGTGTTACCGGTAATTTGCTTTCAATTAAACCAAGTTCTTATTGGATATGCTAATAACATGTCAATAAAGGTTTTTTGATGTGTTTCTCGCTTCCAGGTGAGGTGAAGGTGTTGGAAGTGAAGGTATTGATGAGGAAAATGAAGCTAGAAGTAACAATTTTTGATAAACAATAAAATAAAACATTAACAACAGTAAATCATTCAATAACAGTCAAGACAATATTGATATAAGCTTGCTTCACCTTTCACAATACAAAGAGAAAAAGTTGACAGAACATTTCATTGTTGAAAGCGAGACATGACACATATCTTCGTCCTATGTTTGGAGAATCTTCATCAACTTCTTTTGTTGTTCTCCAATGTTATTTTATATGAAATTAGAGTAGTTTGTAAGTATTTTGCTTTGATTCAAGCTCTTTTTGTATTTCCTTATCAAAAATAGTTTAAATTTGACTTGTATGTTATTTTATTTTGACCTTTTTTGCAAAATTTTTCGAAATTTATTGTTTCCCAATTTTGGTTGCATTTTTCTTGTCGGTGTGGTCGTGAAAACGTTGGTTTCTTGGACCGGAATCACAATCTTCAACAAGTTATTCGGCTGCCATTGCGCCCGCTCACAAATCGCTCCAAAGTTTTGTCCAGACCATGATGAACAGAGTGTTCAAGCGACGACAACCAAAGAAATTTGTTAGTTTTAAATTGTTTTATGCTGCTTTAGATATTTATGTGGATTAATTGTGTTTTTAAAGTATAGTTAGAGGTTTTAGAAGGCTTTTTAATCTTCATGAGTTAGATTTTTGGCATTTAACATTGATATTGTTTTAGGTATAAGTGTGGTCAACTGATTTTGCATCAATATTTAGGTAGAAACTTGGAGTCTTTGTTGTTTTTGTTTAACGTGTAACATAATTATAAAAATTACCATGTTTTATTAATATTATCTTATTTTTTTGTAAAAGTATCAAACTTTAGGTAATAGATATTGTTTCAGACTGATTTCAATACTAAACCATCTCAAAGAGTCAAGATGTCGTTACGAGTACGCGACAATAATCAGATCAACGTGGACAACAACAATTTGATTCCCCAGGGTCGAGCGTTGAAGAGATCTGCGGAGTTTCAAGTGTTGAAGCTATGTGAAGATGAACCTGTCGCAAAGCGACCAATCAAGGCTGGCGAGTGTGAGGTAAGTGTTAGGTCATGTTGTTGTTTCTAGAGTTTTTTTATGTCTATTTGACCTTAAAATCGACATGATTATATTTAATCAAAGCCAATACTAAGCATTTGACAGTGTTTTTGTTATAACTTTGGTAGGCAGGTAAATAGATTTGAAACTTTGTTAATTTTAAGCTAGAAACTAGTTTGACCTCCTATATTAATATACTTTTTCAGGCCATCTCTTCTTATCAAATTGACGCGATCAAAAAGAATTCAACAACCATTTTGTCGTTAAGGAAGAACAAGTTTGAGAGACTACTCCCGTTGAAAGATGTATTTGATGCTGAGGAATTGGAAGTGGACCCTTGTCCGGGATTTGACTTTGATAAGGAGAATTCAAATGATCCAAACTCTGTCTCAGAATTTGCTTGTGACATATTCAAGTACTTGAAATGGCGGGAGGTAAGGTTTTAACTCGTTTTGTATTGTAGGTCTAAATCAAGCGTCTGTATGTAGTATCAGATTGAATTAATTTTTGCTATTTTCTATTTTTCAGCCGCATTTCATGCCGACCAATTACATCGGAAGGCACAAGTACTTGAATGGTAAGAGTCGTGCTGTGCTAGTCGATTGGCTCGTCGAGGTTCATGGGGCCTTTAAACAAAATCATGAAACATTGTACATGGCTGTCAACTTGGTCGACCGATTCTTCAGCAACTCAAAAAAAAATTACCAGAGGTCTCCAGCTAGTTACTTGCGCTGCGGCTTTTGGTCGCTGCTAAGTTTGAGGTAGGGGATCTTGATGCGTTTCTACTTGGCTAACTGTATTGTTTTAGGAGCGAAGTGCCCCACTTATCGACGATCTGATCTATCTAGTCAAGGACGCTTTTTCTGCTGACACATTAAAACAGATGGAGCAGGATCTGTTATCCACCGTCGGCTTTGACTTGTGCGCTCCATTGTCTTACTCGTTCTTGAGAAGATATGGCCGCGTCATCAAGGCCGACATGGCTCTCTTGACCTTGTCGAGATACATCTTGGAAGTGTCTCTCCATTTCCTCGACTTCTGTCGCCTGAGTCCATCCAAAATGGCTGCTGCTTCGTTGTTGTTGGCCTTGAAGATGACCAAAACCGGAACATGGAACAGTGCTTTACACAAGTACTCGACCTATGTTGTGGAGGATATTGAGGAGTTGGCTTGGTCACTCAATCACATGATTTGCGTCTACCGTACACAATATCCCGACATCAAGGTGGTCTGGGGGAAGTACTCACATAAGTAAGTTTAGAGTTGTGATAGTTTGGAAGAAAGTTGTGGTTCTTTGGGGATTTTGTGACAGTCGGTAACGATGGATAGGTATAATAATATAGTAGATTTTGACAATTTTTATTTGTATTGCCAGTGTTTTCTTTTAATTTTGCTTTATGTTATATTAGATATTGATGTTTTTGAACTAATAAATTGGTTTTCAGAGTCTTCTTTGAGGTGGCCAAGATTGAAACACTGAAGGACAAGTATCTTCAGGATGCACCAATTGTCCCACCGCCCCAAGTCCAGGCAACGGACGAGAAACTGTTGGCCAACCGTCACTGATATATATGTCTATCTTGTATTAAAGCGGCAACTAATTTATGAGATAAATATTTAATTTACTTTATTCTGTCTTGCACTACTTGATCTTATATTGTTCTGTCACAGCTTTAGGTTACTTTGAAAAGGAGTTGCATCAAATATTCATCCTTGCATTTTAGGTTTAGTCAGCATAGGTTTTGGTATGTATAAGTGTTTTACTTTGCTATGTATAATATTTTTACTTTGCTGATAATGATCATTGACAAAATCAATTTTCAAAAATAAACTGCATTTTAATATTACAAAATAGTGTAAAACTGATTAATTTATTCAAAAATTTTGACCAGTTTGACGTTTTAAAACGCCCATTAGACTCACCGTGCCAGTCTATTTTTTTGAAAATTCAGATTTTAGTTTTTACTTGTCTATCCTTTGAAGAGACTCATGTAGGCAGAAGTCTTGACGCTATGCCCATAATTGTGATATTAGAATCAGAAGTTCATGCGATTAGGATCTTGTTAACCTTAAAAACGTATATTTACAAAGTTTGATATGTTTTTTGTCAAGGCAACCAAAAACCACAACGAGTTACATTTTACTACAGAGCTAATTTTACTGTATACCATATATCTTAAAATTTTTTCTGGTCAAAATGGAGCAATCGCTTTTCTACATCAATAGTAGAAAGGCGATCTCCGCTGTGTGCCGATCCCTATTTAAACTTTTTTCCCGACAGTTTGTTTCGTCCGTTACGGGAAGTGCCAGCTCAAAAAGCGAGAAATTTGAATTCCGGCTTCCGCGCGCAAAAATAATAGGCTTCTGCGTTTGCGCGGTAATCATTTACTCGAACAGGTCGAAGCGGAAAAGGAGAAAGTGTTTAATATTATTACTCAAAATTAGCTTTGGTGTTGCGTTTTTTGTAAGCAGTGTAGGGTAGGAAAGGAGAGATAGGATGATATAGGAGGATAGGGTAAGGTAAGATAGGGTGGGGTAAGGTAGCATAGGATAGAGTAAGATAGGGTACAGTAGGGCAGGGTAGATAGCGGAGAGAAACAGTGCGCTCACCCTAAGAACGACCTCATCAGAAACAATCTGATCCCACGACAGCCTGTCGTAGCCCTACGGTCGAGATGGGCCGGCGTTGAGCTAAATGTCCGTGCTTAAATTTGGGCTCAGCTAGCGGGCCGGACTTGAAAAAGTAGACCCAGGCCCTACACATTTTTTTTAAATGTATTGTTTTAGAAAAGGCCGGGCTTATAATGTTTATGACCGGGCCGGGCCGATCTGAGAAAAAAAAATGAAAATGCGTTAAATGTTAGGCCCCGGGCCTTGGCCGAGCCTCAAAGGCAGGCCAGGCTTGTTTCTCTCCCGTAAGGTTCATTTTTTCAAATTTTAAATTAAAAAAATTTGAAACTTTACAAAAACCCACTGGTCAATCACCCTTTTCAATACTTTTTGTTTGTTTTTATGTAGCGTCCTTTTTCGAAAAAGCTGATAAGAAATTAAAAACTGTTTGCTACAAGTTGGTCAGCCGTTTTTTAAACACTGAGGGCTACTTTTATGTTAATATCGGTGACGTCCACTTATCAAAAGGATTCTGACTTCTTTTTCGAAACTGATTTGCATAACACTTAAAGTAAAGTGACCTGATTTTAAATAATGAATGGGATCTAGGGCAAGGAATAGGGGTAGGGGAAAGGCGAGCTTTTTTAATTGGAGAGATTTTGAATTTCTTGTGGTATGAGTAGTTATAAGATCATATAGAGGCTGGTATAAATGTAAGTAAGAACATTTTTTTGAGGCACGGGGATCAAAAAATTTTTGTTTTTTTTAAAACTCTAATTTTTGAAATTTAGAGCCGGGGGGGGTCGATATTCAAGGTTTTTTCTAATTTTTTTTTCGGTCTCAGGGCATAATAAAAAATTTTTCAAAAAAACCTAATGATTATTCTTAACAAAACCAACTGAACCTCAAAAACACCGGTCGATTCCCCTTCGTTTGCTTGCTCTTTTCGTACCACGACATTCAGGCGGCCGCGCACTTTTGACCATTCAAAAATAAGAAAGCGAGTGACCAGGCGTCCAAAGAGACACTCTCACTCTCAGTCGGGTTCTGCCAGCGTCCTTCATGTTTTTTGGCATAATTTATTGGATTCTTGATCTTAGGGGTTGAAAAAGCATGATTTTACATAATTTTGTTACAATGTTGTTATGTAAGATTACTGTAATTTTTGGATTTGGAATTGTAGTCGAATAATGTGGTTTTTAAGGTAGTAGAGTTGGAATATTGTAGTGGAAGTTGACAGGAATGTTGTTATTCTTAAGCTTAAAGTCATGGACCTACATATGATTTAATACTTAAATATTATGTTTTTATAACAAAACGTTGCTTTTACCGAGCATTTTTTACATTACATAGTGGTTCGTGGGGCAAAATTACCAGTTGACTGTATTGGCTATGTAGGTACTGTACGAGAGGGGGGGGGGTTATGTAGTTACTATGCAACAGGGCTATATAACGGGCTATGTAGTTTGACAATTCAATAGAGCTGTCTATAATGTTTGAAAAAATAATATTTTTTATATGACACGTGAGATAGACAACTGCAGAATTTCATTAGAAGCGATCCTAGGTGGAACATATTTTTATAGTCAATAGCTGTGTCATTATTGGCAATAGGCAATATTATCATATCAGCAAACATTTAAATAATAGCTTAGCTACTATAGGCCAAATCTTGGTAAAGCAACTTAACTTTGTATACCAAAAATCCTCCTTATACACCAGTTACTCTTATTCACCATAAACCATCCTTTTCTACCATAAGCCTTATATTATATTACCTGTGTCTTACGATCTTATATTACATAAGCTTCTTTTTCACCTATAACTTATAGGTAAGCATATGAGAATGGGCTTTCTCATCGCTGGCTAAGGTGACCTCACATCGTCGACTGGAGTGACGCTTACATTACGTTAGAACACATGTTCTATTCTTCTTCGTATAAAAAAGACTTACTGTAAGAATCAAAAAGAACTTTGATATATCATATATACCTATTATCATTGTAAAAATTGTTTTTAAAAGTTTTTTAACCTAAAATTATTTGTTTTGGAAAAGGTTAGATCGTCTATATTCATCCTTACTTCATTACTTTACCTTAATCTGCTTTAACTGGCCTCTGTGGACTATTCTACTCTACTCTAAAGTGATTTGCCATACTTTAGCCTACTCTATTTTACCTTATTCTACCATATCCTACCCTATCTTCCCCTACCCTACTCCTCTCTATTTCCAGAGTATAAAAATAAAATTAAATGGGAGGAGTAAGATATAGAAAGTAATACAAGACTAATGTCAACGAGTAATAGGCCTTCCGTCACCACTCATATGGCTACAAGAAAACGCCGGCTAACCTGACCCAACTCATAAGTTTATTTCCATTTTCAGTTTGATTTGAATACCTCATTAATCGTCGTTCAGCTGGTGGTGCGCTCGGAATGATTTTTTGTTGATCGTTTGCTTTGCCTGTCAGCCGGTTCAAAAGTAGCCGGTCTGATTTATACTGTATTGATGGTAATCAAAGTAATGGATGAATAATATCGATAAGGTTTGAAAATGATTAATAATATTATTGTTATCACTGGTTTATTTGATGCTGGTTTTTGAAGCGGCTAGTTGTTTGTTTGTAAGCTGACCTTTCAAGTTTTGACCTTAAAAATTCAACCAGTTTTAAATCAGAAAATATAATTCTCTATCATATTTTAAAAGCTCACACTTAAATCTACCTAAAATCTCACAAAAACATCATATTTTAACCACCCACACATCTAAAACAATATCAAACTTTATCCTTCACCATTCTCTCCAAGTTACTTCATTTTACACTTTAATTTTCCTTTATTTTTCTTTGCCAAAACAATTCGAAATGATCCCAACTATTCGAATGATTACGAGAAGTCGCCAGAAGCGATTTCTTGGCATTCTCCTTTTTCCATTTTTGGCTTGACAAAATAACGAGTTTTTTCTTGATTTCACCGAATTTTTCAATGTTTTGAAGGAGATTTTTGGGTTGTAGTTATAAAAACAGTAATTCTCAGGCGTTTTAACGTCTTTTAAACAGTTTTTCTTAACAGTTTTGTGGAGTTTAAGCGGCCAAAACGTTGATTTTTGATGTTGTTTTAGGTTTATTTGGTGGATTTTGATGTTGAAATTGGTTTTTTGGGTCTTTTTTAGTTTTTATTGTTGAATTTAGGTATTTTGTTATGTTCTTGGGTTAAACGGGCTCTCATTTCATGTAGAAGATAATGTATTTTTTTCATTTTTCTTTTGTTGTCCATCTTGTGTTTAGGTATCAAAACGTTTTTTACAATTCTGAACATACTATGACTTTTATAAACTTTCATTCACAATATTAAGCTATTTTTCTTATTTTAACTTTTATTTTACTCTGAACTATCTACACTTCAGTTTTTATTATCCAAAAAACTTGTCTCTGACTAATACTGCTTCCTTTCGTATAACTTAGTTTCCCCGAGTCGGGCGCGAGCCGTTTTGCCGAAAAACGCTCATCATTTCGAATTTGAACCGCGAAATGGAAGATTACCGTAAATCGAGGCCTCATTTCTGATTGTTTGAAGGTTTGGGTTGCGGTCGGGATCAATTCGCGGCCCTTCACATTTTCACTGAAACAACACATCACTGATCTTTCCACTGGACTATGATGCTGAGGAACAGAGACACCAACGCAAACCAAGCCGCCGGCCGCCAAGCCCTGAAGAACGTCGCATCAAAGCACAAGAACGTCGGAGTCAAAGGAGATGAACCGAAGGCTAAGAGAGCCGCTCTCGGCGATATCACGCATGTAAGTCAATTTTTCCGATATTATGTTAGTTTAGAGTAAGATTACGTCAAGTTTATGGGAGTGAATGGAAAGGTTTGGGTATGGAAAGATAGTTGAGGGTCTTAGGTCAGTGTGGGATAAGGTTATAGAGGCTTGGGTTGTTGAATAACTTTGTTTTTAGGCTTTTTAATTGAAAAATAGGGCACTGGTTTATTGTTGAAATAAAGAATTTGACGTTTTTTGCTATATTTTCCCTCAGAAGAAAGGTTGAGCTTTGAAACGTAGTTGAATTAAAGCTAGCGTATATTGGCTTAGCTTCTAATGGAAAAAGTTTCGTTATTTTTTAAAATATTGAATGTATAGAAGATTGAATGGCGTCTACTTTTGGAATAATTTTGGTGTTTGTTTCTAAGACTTTAGCTCAGATAATTTCTTTTGTATAAACCGCATCTGTATTATAGTTCTTTAGTATTAATAATACCTTTTCCAGGCCTTATCTTCCTACCAAATTGACTCTACAAAGAAAAAGGTTTCTACAACCACTTTTTCGTCAAAGAAGAACAAGGTTGAGAGACTACTCCCATTGAAGGATGTCTTTGAGGCAGAAGAGCTGGAAGTGGACCCGTGTCCAGGATTCGACTTTGATAAGGAAAATGCAAATGACCCAAATGCTGTCTCAGAATTCGCTTGCGACATCTTCAAGTACTTGAAGTGGCGTGAGGTAAGGTTTTACTTTTTTTGTTCTTGAAGTTTAGGTACATAGTGGCTTTTTGATTAGTATCTCGAGGTTTAGGTAAGAAGGGGCTCTTTTAGATTTTTTGAAGGGACGTTAGTTAGGGTTTATGTCTTTATCTTATAGTACTGTTGAACGTGTTGTTCATCTGTTATTTCTTCCTTTTCAGCCGGATTTCATGCCGATCAATTACATGGGAAGACACAAGCATATGGATTCTAAGACTCGTGCTGTTCTGGTCGATTGGCTCGTCGAGATTCAAGAGGCATTTGAACAAAACCATGAGACGCTCTATATGGCTGTTAACTTGGTCGACCGCTTCTTCAGCAACTCCAAGAGAATCACCAGAGACAGCCTCCAGTTGGTTACTTGCGCCGCGGCTTTGGTGGCTGCCAAGGTTGAGGTAGGGCATGTTTTATCAGGTTTTGAGTGTAGATATTTCAGTTTTTGTAGATAAAAAATTATAAAGAAAGTTCTTAAATTTTTTATTTTTTACATGTTGTTCGGAAAAATAATGACTTTTTAAAGCTCGACTAATATTATATTGTTACAGGAGCGAAGTGCCCCACTCCTCGACGATCTGATCTACCTGGTCAAGGACGCTTTTAATTCTGACACATTAAAACAGATGGAGCAGGACTTATTGTGCACCATCGGCTTCGACTTGTGCGCTCCATTGTCTTACTCGTTCTTGAGAAGATATGGCCGCGTCATCAAGGCTGACATGGCTCTCTTGACCTTGTCGAGATACATCTTGGAAGTGTCTCTCCATTTCCTCGACTTCTGTCGCCTGAGTCCATCCAAAATGGCTGCTGCTTCGTTGTTGTTGGCCTTGAAGATGACGAAATCTGGAACATGGAACAGTGCTCTACACAAGTACTCGACCTACGTTGTGGAGGATATTGAGGAGCTAGCTTGGTCGTTAAATCACATGATTTGCGCCTACCGTACACAACACCCAGACGTTAAGATGGTTTGGGGAAAGTACTCCCATGAGTAAGTTTTGGAATTTAAAGTTGAAATGTTATGAAAAGCTTTAATTTTTAAGTTTTTGAGCTTTTTTTTGTAATAAAGCATGGATAATATAATATATTTGTGCTGTTTTTTATTTGTATTACAGTACTTTCTGTTCATTTTGCTGTATATTACGGTAGATATTGCTTATTCTGAACTAATAAATCGAATTTCAGAGTCTTCTTCGAGGTGGCCAAGATTCCAACACTGAAGGACAAGTATCCTCACGATGCCCCGATTGTCCCACCGCCTCAAGTCCAGGCCATGGACGAGAAGTTATTGGCCAACCGTCACTAATTTATGTCTCTTATTATTAATTAAACTGATATTGTCTCGTAATCTCTCATAATTATTATAAGTTTGTATTAATTGTTGTAATAGTCTCACTAATGGTACTCTAAGTGCACTCTCTCATTAATATTTTAATTACAGTATACTTTTTCATTAATATTCTCATTACAGTATACTTTCTCATTCATACTCTTTCAGTATACGTTTTCATACATACTCAGTATACTTTCCTTATTATTAATTACAGTATACTGCTCTCAAAATCGATCATTTCTCATATTGTTAATGCCACTTTCTGATCGAACCGTATACGATGTTATTGATTACTGAATACTCGTCGAATGACATGATTATTAATATAATACTCATACCATCGGTTAGACCACCTAATCGAATATCATTTGGCGCTGATATTGACTAATTGATAATTCGTATCAACTGTTGTCACCATCTTTTCTCGCCCTTTTCGTATCATAAACTCTTTCCGGCCATTTACGTTTGTATTTCGAGCATCTTTTGGGTATTTGGAGTTATTTCGATGTTATTAATAATATAATGGTTGACAGTTTGGATTACTGTAGCTGGTTAGTTGTTGGTTTGGGTGTAGGAGGAGTTGTAAGGTAGTTGTTTTGGTTATGGGATAATTTTGAAGAAGTATTAATTTTAAATATACTTTTAACAGGCACTAGTTTTGAATAGTATTTTAAGGCTTAGTATGGCCAAGAATTAGGTGGAGGGAAAAGTAATTTCAAATGAACGTCTTGGCCGTTTATAAAGACTTGACCAAGTTTGATAGTATTTCTAGGCTAGAGTAGTCCCTTATTGTCAACAAAAAATCACAGAGTCATGGTCAATCTGTCACCATCGTCTATACATTGTAAAGAAGATTCATCTGATATCAATACCATTTTAACCAAGAAATCTTGAGCCAATCATTCTATGACCATTTGATCGCAATTCAACTCAGCAATTACCTATAACAACGTCAATATCGCGTTTTTCAAGTACTATCTAATTTATCTTAACACACACTCAAGTTCCAATACTATATCTCTTCGTACTTGGCCAAACCATTACCAAATCGCACTAAACTGATTACTAAAATATTGTCCGCTTTCTCACTGAATGCAAACCTTTTATGTCTCGTGAATATCGTACTATGCGTATGCCGAATCAAGTTTGAATCCAGCACGTCGTATGACAATACCGGGATGTCACAGACATTTACAGTGATTTCACTGTGCCATTATTGTATAAACAAAGGTCTTTGATTATAACTACAGTAAACAATAATAAATAAGAGACGTTTTTTGAAATAACAGGTTTTAGCTGTATAACCCTAGCTGTATAAAAAAAGACCTTCTTGTTGCTACCTACAACAAAGCCCTCCAAGAATTTTGAAGTTTAAAAACAAATAATGAAATATTAAAGTAGGTATTGATAATAACATGTTATCTAATAGATAAGATAAAGCCCCAAAAATCATAAAACTTTTATTATGTCAAAAAATACCATCCTATATCGTAATACAATGATTAATACCTAACAACTATAAAACTCCTGCTAAAAAATAACAAACTTGTAAAACTGAGCGTAATAGTTTACCATGTAATATCACAATAAATTCTAGATTCTTTCGAAGTCAACATGCCCTGAAGGACAAAGAATATCGAACCGGCTTTCGATTAGTTGAAGCTCTTTTTCTTTGGCTGTTGGAGTGTCTGATGAGGCTAAAATAAGGTTTATTAGTCCAAAACCCCCAAAACCTCCCTTACCATGAGCCTTCTCGTAAGTTCGTTTCAAAACAGCTTGAACTGACTGTAAAGCCTTGTCCACAGATTCCTTTAAATCCTTCGTATCTTCAATCCACACTAACAACAAGCTTGCGAAGATATCACCAGTTCCAACATAACTGTGAGGTAGTTTGGGTACTTTGAACAAATGTTGTTCAATCTCTCCTGATGCCATTTTCTGCGACGTTAGTCCTGTCAGTTGGTCTGCTTTACCAGGTACATTACTTGATACTACAACCATTGGGATACCGTATTTTTCATGAATGTATTTCACTGCTTCTTTGTAGTCGGGTATTGTTTTACAGTCCTTTCCTGATAGTTCTCTGAACGTAAAAGTTTTATTAAATAGTAACGTATTGTGATACAGTGAAGTAAAGTTTAAGATAAAACAGGGTATGATGAAATGGAAAACGGTAAAAGCTATAGCAAATTAGTTGGCTAACATCCCTGGCTGATAATAATTAATTGCCAATTAAAGCTAAATTACAAAACATACCGCAACTCAAAAGCATTTGGCGTCAAAATATTGGCATATTGAATAACATTGTCACGATATACTTCCATCAACTCTTTTGGAGTATACTGCAATTCAAAAATATTTATAAATTATTTTTTAAATTAGTTTTTTAAATACAAAAGCGAAATTCATATAACCGTTGATTTTAAAGAATAAAAAGCTTAAAAAACGTTATTTTTTTAAATTTCTAAAATTTTAACAATAATCCAGTAAACAATGAATAAAAGAAAACAGTAGTATCAAACCTTACATATCCAACTCCATCGTCACCCAGCACAGGATCACAAACGAAAAACAAATCCGGATTCTTTTGTTTTTGCTCCTTCAAAAAGTTTCCGATCTCGTTCAGAAATGCTGGATCGCCACAGTAGCCTACAACAATTTTAAGGCTTATTCATTTATATATGAGTTTTACTGCATTCTACTAATTCTGTAGTTTTAAAAATATACAGCCACAAATATATGTTTCGTATTTTACTCAAAATTATAAAGATTTATGATAAATTCTTCGCATTGCTAATTAGCCAACCTTCAGATAAAAATATAATAAACCAACAAACATACCTGTTAATATATGACTGTATTCATCAAGGCTATTCAGCTTCAACCCTTCTATCAGCTCTTTTATGTCGTCGCTGTGAAACCGTTTGCCTCTGACTCCATTCTTGTAGGCTAAAGTAAATACAATAAAAAATAAAATAAAAACTTTAATAAAGTGATTTAAAATCAAATAAAAACTTTTAAATATATAGTTCAAAACCAATCATCAAAACCATCACCTTCACTTACCAGTATGATTAGAAAACTGCACAGAATTCATTATATCCGTCTCGAAACCATGTAGCTAAAACATAAATACGCTTAAAAAGTTAACTTTTAAGAAATATAAATGAAAGTGACAAAACTTAGAATATCATCTCACCTGCAATGGAAAAACAGCAGATTTGTTACCAGCATACCCAGAAACAACATGACTTTGGATCGTCAATACCCTCTTGTTTGGCCTTGTTAACTTCAGCCGATCAGTCATCACAGCTACAAAGTTTTCCATTAATCTAACTTACAATCTTACAACATATATCAAAGTTATGTACTGTGCAGTAAAGAATTATTTTCTGCACCGTGCAAAAACTTTTCCACTCCGCACGGTGCATTGTAATCGAAACCTAAAATACATAGCCACAAAAAAACGTTAAAAATTTAAATGAACTCCCCGTTCTGTCAAACACAGCACTTTTAAGCTTCTTTGAAGCGTGCAAACTGAAGTGTCATAAGCCCTAAATAGCCTGAAGACTTAAAACAACATAAATCGGGCCAAAACAAACTTTATTTTCTTAAAATAACCTAAAAATCCAAAAAAAAATCCCTGAAAAACAAAAACACGACATTTTCAATTAAAAACTGTCAAACAGTAAACTACTTAGAAGCTACTATAACATAAGATATTTAAAGATTACGATATGATTAAACCAAATTCACAAGAATTTTTACACAAAACACAAGCAATGCATTGTAAAAAACCAAAACAAGACAATATAATCCCAAAAATTTTGTACTGTGCCCTGTATTGTACAAATATTCGTATGTTACCTCAAGAAAATATACATTACTTCATTAAAATGACAAAAATAATAAGCAAACCACAATTTAAATACTAAAAAAATCATTAAAATCCTATCTAAAAACATATTTCGGTACTTATCACCAAAGGATTCAGGTAATAAAATAAGATTCCTGATAAAATAGGTAAAGGTAAGCAAATAAACATACTTTTTACTGCCAAAACAACAGTAACTTGAGAAAAAAACAAAACTAAATATTAATTGTCGTCTAGGCTACAAATTAATATTGTCCGTTACCAAAATATTCCGAAATTGATTCAAATTTACAAGATTTTGTGAAAATTTTAATAATTATTTTAAAATGCAAGTCTTGACACAAGGTTTGAGTTTGCGTCAAGTGTTGCTTCAAATATTATACTTGTTTTTTTTCGTAAAATTATCGTACCCACTAGCTAAAATAGGGTCTCAAAAGCTTAAATATTTGTTACAGAGTGTTTAATGTAACCTTTGATATTTCATTTTGAGATACCTATTTTTAAAAATGACCGGTGAAACTGAGATGGAGGTGGAGAAGGATTTATCCTCGCTTGCTAAAGTTGGAGTAGCTGTTATCAAGGCGGAATTCTTAAAGAAAGTTGAGGTAAGTGTGCTTTTTGTTTTACGTTTGTGTTTTTAGGACATAGAGTACGTTATGTTGAGTATATTTTGGCTTTACCTAACCGTTTTCTAAGCTGAAAATTTACCTATAAGCTTCCTTTAGGATGCAGAACCAATGGACACTGGAAAGCCTGATCCGGTGAAAGATGAAGCCCAAGTTGCTGCTGATAAAGCCAGAAAAGCGGCTAGACGAGGTCAGGATCGTAAAAGAGAAAAGAAAATGGCACACGCGATGGCTGATGTTAGACAAAACTCGATGAGACTGTGTCCATCAATGTTGATACCTGGAAGAGAATGTAGATTTGGGGCTAAATGCAACGCTTCTCATGATATTAAGGATTATGTGGCGAAGAAAGAAGAGGATATAAGTATGTCTTTTTCATTATATGTTAACATTTAGTGAGAAAATTTTATTTTGTAGCATAAAAACATAGAATGATATTGTAATAGCCGTAAAAGGTTGCTAGAATCTATTACTATAATGTTTTCTTTTGAGAAGTCGTAACGTTTATCCTTCAGGACCTTCTTGTATCATATACGACCAACTTGGCAAGTGTAATTTTGGTGTTTCTTGTCGATTTGCCAAAGCCCACACCAATCCAGATACATTTGAACAGCTAGAAAAGCAAGCTCAAGAAGCTTATCAACCGACTTTGAACGCTGATGGTGTTAAACTTCAGAAGTTGATGCGGAAACACGAATATGATTTTAAGAAGTCAGATGATGCTCTGGTACTGTACCGTGAATTGAAGAAGCAGGAGATTGCAACAGGAGCAATGGAGAGAGAAAAGCTGAAGATGAACATGCGTGATCTTAAGGGTAAAAAGTATTTGGCACCGTTGACTACTGTTGGAAATCTGCCATTCAGAAGGCTGTGTGTAGAAATGGGAGCTGATATTACTTGTGGTGAAATGGCTGTGGCTACAAGTTTGCTTCAGGTGGGATTTGGTCTCTATTTTCTCTCAGATAATATTGTTTTAAAGCGCAAGTAGAATATGAATGATTAATTTTACTAACGGAAGAACGTTGCCTTAATCTTAAGTTAGGTATGGTATCGTTTTAGGGCAATCCAAGTGAATGGTCATTGATTAAACGTCACCCGTCAGAGAAAATATTCGGAGTTCAGCTGGCTGGTGGGTTTCCAGATACGATGGCAAAAGCAGCTCAGATCTTGACCGAAAACATGCAATTAGACTTTATTGACATCAACTTGGGATGCCCGATTGATGCTGTGAACGACAAGGGCGGTGGTTGTGCGTTGTTCAACCGGTCAAACAAGCTGATGGAGGTAAGAATTTGAAATATTTGTAAAAAAGGTTTTTTTATTTTTTAAGTTTGGCAATATCAAATTTTTAAAATACGTTTAGTTTTTTAAATATTCATTAGAATATATCTATACAGATATATCTATAGCAATTATTATTTATTTTTATCAATTGCAGGTGGTTCATTGCATGCAATCAGTGATGAAAGACACCCCTCTGTCAGTAAAGATGCGTTATGGTCTAAAAGAAGGCGACAGAATAGCACACAAAGTCATCAGACGCTTAGTAAACGAATACCCACCTCAACTTCTGACCATTCATCCAAGATCAAAGGAGCAACGTTACACTAAAGCAGCTGAATGGGACTACATTCCCGAATGTATTGAAGCCGCCAATGGCAAAGTACCAGTTTGGGTGAGTGGCGACTGTTACAACTATGAAGATTACTATGCAAATCTCGAAAACTACGCAGTAGATGGCATTATGGTAGGCAGAGGAGCCTTGATTAAACCTTGGTTATTCACTGAAATCGATGAGAAACGTCATTATGACATTTCGGCCACAGAAAGACTGGATTTGATCAAAAAGTTCTGCAATTACGGACTAGAACATTGGGGCACTGATGATGCTGGTATTCAGACAACAAGAAGGTTCTTGCTTGAATGGCTTAGTTTCCAACATCGCTACGTGCCAACTGGTATTCTGGAGTATCTGCCACCGAAAATCAACCAAAAACCATTGCCATATTATGGAAGATGCGAGATGGAAAGCTTGCTGGCTAGCCGAGCTTCGAGTGACTGGCTGAAGATTTCGGAAATGTTTTTGGGAAAAACTCCACAAGGCTATCTGTTTGTACCTAAACATAAGGCTAACGCTTATTGATGGTGCAGTGGCTTCAATAAACCTTCACCATCATGCTAGGGAGGTAAGCCTGGTGGTTGAGAGTAAGAATTGTTTTTATTATATTGTTGTTGTTGATCCGTTATCAGTTTCGACTTTTGTTGAAATTTTAAAATAAATTTAAAGTTTTATCATCAAACCAATATTTATATGGCTTAAATTTAAAAACCTTGGATCTTCATAATAACAATATTAATAGCTACTCTGTCTTAAACAAATTAGTTGAAGATGTGAACTGCAGACTTACTAAACTATCCAACAAGTATAGGGCTAAATCTGAGAAGAGGCCTACTAGGGCCGGCCTCTCAGGTCCAATTAGAAGACGGCCTATACAAATATTATAGCTTGATCATTGAAAACGTCAAAAATAATGTCTCTTTTTTACTACTTTACGGAAAAAACGACTGATTGACGTAAACAAACGTAGTATATAACGAAAGTATAGCCTCTGGTCACTCGTCCATCTTTTTGTAATAAACGTTTATGGACTAATGTATGTTTACATATAGCCTAGACATGAGAGTGACCAAGTATTGAAAACTTTTTTTAAATTTTGCAACAATATATTATTTTTATGGGTATTACTGTATGTTTTTTTTAAATAAAAAATACCTTTTTACTACTGTACTTTCACTGTTTTTTGTTTTTTTTACTTTGATACACTTTTTTCAAATAATTTTCCATACTTCATCGAAACACCGTATTTTACCATTCTTACCTTCTAAAACAATATTTTTAGTAAAAATCGCTGAATTGTAATATTTAAATACGCATAGTAACATAGTCTCGCGTGGTTTTGCTCTATTTACTGCGCAGTTGCAAAAAAGCGTAAACTGTTTTACACGCCATAGAAGATATGTATCACCAGCCGGCTGTCACTAGTTTTCCGGTAAGAATTGTGCCGCAATATGTTGCCGCAACTCCGAAAAAACAGAGGAGAAGTTGCGGAGAGTTCTTCCGAAAATATTTTTTACAAGGTACGGTTTGGGGTTCTGTAGTGTAATATTTGCCATAGTACTGCATTTGATAGCTTAATGTAAATTCAATGTATGACCTTTTTTTAATTTATGCTTTTCAGGCCAAGAACTAGACCTAGAGCTAGAAAACAAAATTGTTGAAGTTGGAGGTATTGATAGGTTGCCATTTCACGAAAGATATCGCAAATACTTGGCATTACTGTACCCATTCCTGTTTTTCCAACTATGCTGGTGGTCGTTAGCTATCAAACATAACATCTTCGCTCTTTATCCGACTAGATACGAAATGGCTGTCACTATGATTGTTGGAAGCTTCGCTTCAGGTAAGAATATGCTCTTATAGCACTATTTGCACTAGTTCTATCAAAAATGATTTTACATCACAAAACTGAGACTAAACCATACTACTTTGTACTACGAATATTGTGCTTTTAATCTATAATATAGTCATTTTCAGGCGCAACATCAGAAGGCGGAGGAGCGGTAGCCTTTCCTGTTATGACATTACTTTTGAAGCTCCCTCCTACTGTAGCAAGGGACTTTTCTTTGATGATACAAAGCTGTGGTATGACAGCGTCTGCTTTCACCATCATTTACATGAAAGTCAAAGTAGAATGGCACTCCTTAGTGTATACAAGTCTTGGATCATTTATCTCGATCATACTGACATTAGAGTTCATCGATGACTTGATCGATGGTAGGTTGAATACAGTATTTTGATGTTAACGTACATGATTGTAAAATTTAAGTTTAAAATTACATTTTTTGCGTTTTCGGCTACAATATAATGCTACCTTTCAGAACACCAAAAGAAGATGATGTTCGTAGCTGTCTGGTTTGCCTTTGCCATCTCATTATTCATATTGAACACCCAAAAGAAGCGGCAAACCTATGACACTATCCCCAAATTCGGTTTCAGCAGTGGTCTAATACTATTCTTCACAGGCCTGTTCGGTGGACTCCTAAGTGCGTGGACTGGCTCAGGAGTAGACATCTGCTCATTCTCAGTACTTACATTATTATTTCGTGTCAGTGAGAAGGTAGCTACACCGACATCAGTTGTATTGATGTGTATAAACACTTTGGTCGGGTTTTACTGGCGACATTTGATCCAAAATGGAATTGCAGACTTAGCTTGGGAATACTTTGCAGTTTCTGTTCCTGTAGCTGTTACTGCGTCGCCACTAGGAGCGTTGTTGTCTTCACATCTTCATAGACAAGTTTTGGCGTTCTTTATTTACATTTTGGAGACCTTATCTATCATCACTTGGCTGATTACTAGGCCTAAACTTGAGTTGATATATGGTGCTGGTTTTATTGTTATCTTTGCGTAAGTTTGAACGTAAAATGGCTTTGGCGGGCAGTGTTATATCGTTAATATACTATATTAAGATCGCAACGTTCCAAACATTATTATCATTATAAAAAATCATAGTTGTTTTTTTTCTACCTTAATTTACTAATAACTTACCTTTCAGAGTGATATTCTTCTGCTTCATGAGCAAATCTGGCCAACATCGATCCATGGAATTGGAAAGCCGAAAATCCAGCAGTTCATCAGCTTCAACGTATGAGGCGTAGCACAATATGCGGATATTAATCTGCAAAGTGTCGTATCACAATCTTCCTAATTTATTTTTTATAATAATAAGTTATTAATAAATTAAAAAACACTAATTTTCACGTTTCTTAAAATTACAACACTGGTTTACAACACCATTAATGTAAAATACGTCTTAACTCAAACTCAGTGAAAATTTACAAAAATTCTAGATACAGAACTTAAAGAAAAGATAAAAACGAATTTTCGTTTTATGTTTGGCTTATTTTATTTCCAAAACAACTTATGATGCTGACACGTTTAATCGTATAAAGCTTATCGGACGCGAGACGCTGAATATTTCTATTTTATTTTTTTCGTTAAACTTGCTTTAAAGTTGTTATCAGCATTAACTTATCTTTTTTATAGCAAATTTTAAGGTTTTTGTGAATATTTTTGGAAAGAAAATAATAAGCTGATTTTATGTTACTTTAGGTTTTACACATACTTGAAATTTTAATTTTTAAAGCTACTATATAAGTTCATCTTTTAGTTTTTGTTTATGAGAACATTTATTTAGGGGTGAGAAAAGGGCCGGGCCGGGCCCACTTTTTAGGCCCGGCCCGTTTTCAATTTTCTCTCAGGCCGGCCCGGCCCGGTCAGAAAATTTCTAGGCCCGGCCCGGCCCGTTTTAAAAAATTTTAAAACTTAAAAAATAAACGGAAATTTGGCTTTGCATTGTTCTTTTAGATCATTTATTTATCATGGTACCCAATAAAATCAAAAAACATCAACGGGGATCAAAATAAAAAATTTTTAAAAATTAAAAAATTTTTTTTTCGGGCTCGGGCCCAATTTTCAAGCCCGGCCCGTTTCAATTTTAGCTCAAGGCCGGCCCGATCGTAAGGCCGGGCCGGGCCTAGACGGCCCGTTTCTCACCCCTACATTTATTATACGTGCTTTAACTACTAATGTGTCGTTTAGTCGATATAAATTTGTTATTTACAAGTTTTGATTATTTTCTTGTTTAGATGGGTTCAATTTATTATATTTTTGTGATAAACCGAGCTGGATCTTTGATTTACGACTATGAGAATCACGAGAATGAGGATAAGGTTATAGAAAGGAGCTTTACATGGCCAACAGGAATTGTGATAGAATTGATTGATCAGAAACCAACAGTCGTGTTTGGAGAAAGAGATGGAGTTAGGATAAGATATTGGGTGAATTCTGTCAATGGAAGGGCTATCAAAAGTAAGGTTTTTAACTTTTTGTTGATTTTTAGATGCTTGTGGAAGTGTTCGAGTTTTAACAGTTCTAAAATGAGGTTCAGGGAGAAGATTATGGCATTTTTGGAGACATTCGACATTTACTCTAATATACCGGGCGTTAAAAAGATTATTCGTTTCAGATAACCGCTTCACGGACGAAGATGGAGTAGAAAAGAACTTTATAGACTACATAAGTGACGAGAAAAACTTTCCAGTACGTCTATCCTTCTCTCCGCCAGCTTTAACAGCCAATGAGAAGATCATATTATCTTCAATGTTCCATTCCTTATACACAATAGCTAGCCAACTAAGTCCTGTAGCCAAGAGTTCAGGAATAGAAACATTGGAAACAAGTCAGTTTAGATTGAATTGTTTTCAAACAATGACTGGAGTCAAGTTCATCGTCGTATCATCACCTATCATTGATCGACCGGTCAATAAGCTCCTTCGACGAGTGTATGAATTGTATTCGGACTTTGCTTTGAAGAATCCATTCTACTCGATTGATATGCCAATCAGGGCGGATAAGTTTAATGAAGCTATAAAACAAACTGTGCAACAACATGAAAGGCAACCGGGTGTCCAAAACGTTTAAAGTAGATGATGAATTGTAATTTTTCTGACAATTTAATAATCTATAAGCTTGCCTGTGATAGTTTTGTTTTTGAGGTGTCTTTATCTTATAAAGTAAAGTATAATGCGACCATGTGTCGTATTGTAATGTATTTGCCAATTTTTACGGGTAATACTGAAGTTGTAGTATGTCTTATATTTTTATATGGTATAGTGATACTAGACTATTATATTTATTTTTTTATTGTCATATAATGTATTATATATATAGCATAATTTTTTGGTAATAAAATTATTATTATTATATAGATATACTTTTGTTTGGTAATGATACCATGGATACCTTGGTTACTTTACAATGGTTTCAATACATAATGTTGTTGTAGATGGCAGATTTTAGTGGTTCACTTGGTCATATGATTATTCAAGATGGCAATATTGTTAAAGTGAGTAATAATTTTCATTTTTTTAATTAACATACGAAATATTTATTGGAATGTATTTTTAAATGGTAATTATATGTATTACCGAAGCTTTCTTTACGTTTTCTTATATTGTAATTCTTATGGTTTTTGTATTAAAACGATAGCAACGATAACAAAATATTTTAGGCCGAAGGAGATTTAGCGAATTCGGAGCGTGTAGCCGGACTAGTCCAACGAATCGCATTGGTTGGCGGAGGTATGGAATTATCTAAAGATGGTGCTGGCTTCGAATCCTTGGTTTTGGCGTTCCCTTCGTATCAATTGGTGATTACAAGGTCCGATCAACAACTTGTCGTAGTCAAAAAAGCGGCCGAAGCGGGTACAGACGAATTGCTAACACAAATTGTGTCGGTATAAAGTGTCAAGATATATATTATTGTAATTATTTTTAATGTTTGATTTTGCAATTAAATTCAGCCAAATTATTTTTTTCTGAAGGAAAACTGGGCTTTTTCCAATCTTATGATAGGCTGTTTGGATTGGCATACGTTGATGTTTATTGTGCATGAACGTGTTCAAAGTAACTTGTATGATAAAAAAGGATCGGGTTAACAGTTTGCGAATTCAAATTCGTATTCACGTCCTGATGGCATGTCCAATAAAGTGCCTTCAACGCATTGGTTTGCTCCGTTATCACGTGTGAAATTCATTAACAGTACGTAACTGATACCGGCTATAACTTGTGATGTTGCCTTCTTAATGTCGTGTAATATGAGCATGTGCCCTCTTCTCTGAAGCTGTTTTTCAAGGTCTTTGGCCACTTTATGGAAGTAGTGTTTAGAATAGGAAGTACCCAGGGGCGTCGCTACAAATTTTTTTTTCGCGTACAGGTACCCCTACCTGTGGAGTTTTTTTCGGATCGGCTCGGGGGGGGGGGTGGATCCACCCCCCCTCCACCACCCCTAGCCTCTGGAAGTACCATAAATAAACCATGGTACTACTTATAAATTATAGCTACTTACATAAATTGTTAGGTTTCACAAATCAGTTAAAAACCATTTAAATTTAAAAAATTGGTTAAAAAACAAAATAAACGTACGATAATCTCAGGGTCTGTTCCATTGCGTTCAGTAATGCCACCCACAATTGGTTCTTTAGTTTGAGCGATCACAACAACAGCCGCTACTAAAGCTGCAGTAGCCACAAGGAAGAAACGTTGCATTATTGAAAATGTAGAACGATTGTTGCATTTTTCCTTATATACAACTTTATGGCTTTTTAAAACATATTAATGTTGAACATTTATTGTGTTTTAAGTTCATTTTTTGGCTTATTAAAATTTGAATAAGTGGGGAATGATTGTAGCTCATTTCCATGGGGCATTATTATTCACCTGTTGGGGAGTTATTCTTCATGAGAACCTTTATTTGTAAAAATTATTTGTAAAACAATTTTAAGTGAAAAACTATATTAAAAACTTTGCTTCTTTTAAATTGCTCATTATTTTTAAATTGTTTTTTAAATTGTAAATTTATAATTGCAGATTAGATGTTTCTTTGATACAGTAGTTTGGCCTGTCACACAGAAATACAAAAAAAATTTCAAAAGCAAACAGTTATAAATATACATTGAATTACTGTTATTAAAAACATCCTGAATAAACCGCATTTTATCCCAGGCACTGTAAGAACGCGATTGTGCATCTCTAGATGCATCTTTTTATAAGATCAATCAACGAATCATTATGCAGACGTGATAGAATCTTTTCATTCATCTTAAACACATTATTTTATCCAAGTTGGCAATGGATTCTTCACAAAAAATATACGAGTAAGTTAAATTCTAAATTTTTTACAAATATTTTTACTGGAATTTACCACCTTATACTTGTCCATAAACTGCTACACTTTCCTTTTTTATTTTTTCCTTGTAAGTCATGTTTTCAACCGCTAAAAACTTTACATAAACCGTTTTAAATTTAACCTTTAAACTTAATTTTAACGTTTCTTAAAGTTGCAATTTATCACACACAATGAAACATTTTTGTCCTAACAAACAGAGTGTTTATTAGCAACGTTAGTTGTTATGTACAAACATTGAACGACTTGACTCAAACAATCTGTGTAATTCGGGTCAAGTCTCGCCTTGCTTTTATCGATATTTTTTAATTTTACAAATTTACTTTTTTGAAGAAAGTAAATGTAAATAACTAAAATATGTTTTAAAAACCTGTCTATTATTTGAATTTTTTATATTATATTTTAAATTCGGTTTAGGTCTTACTAAAAAATTGGTGTGTATAGAAGGATAGACCACTTTGTTAGGTTGGAATTTAGTTTGTATTGTATCTTTGCGTTTTGCACGTATACGAAACGTTACTGTTTAACATAATATGTAACATTTGTTTCCTTTTTCAGCATAAATATGGAAGAAGAGTATATTGAACCATTAACAGACGAGCTAACACCGAACGAAGCCAGCACCTCCAAGGTACAATATTGACTTTTTTGTTTTGGTTTTAGGAGCTGTTTGATCTAAAATGGAGTTTTTATTTCGCTGATGATTTGAGAAGTTGTTTTATATGTTTTTAATGGTATAGAGAAGGTTGTAGGTTGGAAAACGTCATTTAAAACTTTGTGATTCTTGTGTTAAACATAGCTGTGATATTTTATGTGTATTTTTTTAGGAGGTCTCCCCAACGCTTCAAAATGAGACTTCAGCAGAACAAGTGGATGTATCAGAAGAAGTTGCAGATCAATCAGTAAGAGACAGCCTTCCAGAAGAGGCTGTACTATCACAAGTAAGTTAAGGTGACGCCTTTTTAGACCACCATTCAAAGTGATGACTTTTGCTATAAAAATTCCTTCAAAGAATAGCTAATAACTTGAAATTCTGAAGGCATGTAGGTCTGCACAGGCTTCAATTAACAGGTTGTATGAGTAAGGCTAACCCTTTTCAGACCTCTAATTCAAAGCCGAATTCGACAGCTAAAACTAACAACAAGAATAAACGCAAAAGTAAGGCAAAAGCAACAAAAAAGAAGAAGGCATGGGAAGCCGATGATAGTGATGGGCATGAAGATCCTGATCCACAATTAGATCCAGTCAAAATTGACTATGAGGCATTGTGTACTGATCCCAAATATGACAATGAGGGAGATGTGTGGGTATGGGACGCTCATCAGTTTACATATCAAAGCATTCGACGGTTTGGTTTGAGGAATCCGATCGTATTTACTGGACAACAAGATGTTCTCGGTGTTGAGTAGGTTTTTATTTTAATATTTTGATATTTTAGGTAAAAAATGACTAGGTACAGGGACGTCGTTTGGGGGAGGGGGAGGGGTACCCCCTCAAAAAAATTGCACAGGTATACCTGTACGCGAAAAAACGAAAAAAACAAATTTTTGATAAATCGGTCCACAGGTCACTGTAGACCAAAAATTTTTTTGATCTCCCTCTCTCCCAGAGAAAATCCGTAGCGACGTCCCTGACTAGGTATATATTGTTTTTGTTGTTTTTTAAACAGACCTATGGGTTTTTAATACATTATGAGACAATGAATGCTAAATGATTAACTTTTTCAGAATCCCGGACATTGATTACAATGGAATAACGGATAACATTGATCCAGCTACGAAAATTGACGTTTTTGATCACAAATCGGAGAAACTAAAAATATGTTGGTGACGCAGGTAGTAGAAGAGATGCAGAAACCGGTCGAAGAAAGAATGGGCCCTTTGAACATGTTATCATTGGAGGTATCGTACCAAAGGTTGGGTCAGATGGTCCAGCCTCCTAGATTGGTTAGAGAAATTGACTGGGGAAACTACTTGTTTCCGGTTGATAAGTTCAAGCAGAGACATTATTCGAGAGTTGAAAAGTAGGTTTCGGCATAATTTTTTTTGTATTTGGCATTACTTGTAAGAAAAATGTTTTTTACATACAGATACGCCATCATGACAATGGCCAAATGTTACACGGAGTTTCACATTGATTTTGCTGGAACGTCTGTGTGGTACCATTTGAAAAAAGGTACCAAATACTTCTTTTTAATAGAACCAACACCGATTGCACTACATTTGTATGAAGAATTCATTTGTGCTTACCGTAGTGGAGTTTCTGTGGGATTCTTCGGGGATGTTGTTGATGGTAAGTTAGTTTTACTTTATTTTAAAATATAAAAAATAGTCCTACATTAATTTTTCTATATTCATCATATCATTTTAAAAGTGAAAGTTCCAATAATAACCTATTTCAAATTTTGATCTTTTAGGAAAATGCACAAGAGTCAAAATGACCGCAGGCCAAACACTCATCCTCCCAGCTGGCTGGATTCACGCTGTCTACACCCCAGAAGACTCCCTTGTCTTTGGTGGAAACTACCTTCACAGCTTCTCTATTCCAATGCAGGTGACTGTCAGAGATCAAGAAACTCGAGGCCAAACCAAGAAGAAGTTCACTTACCAATGCTACGACCAGATCTTGTGGTATTACGTAGCTGAAGTTGTGCAAAAGACATTAGCAAAGGATTATGTTCGACTTTTCAAAAGAGACGAGTACGACGAGATTCAGCAAAGGTTGGCCATTTGTCCAGAAGAGTTCAAAAATTGTTGTTATGACATTTTGCTGCCAAAACCAGAGTTTTATGACGATCCTCACACTGGCGATCCAATTCAGTTCAACTTTGATCCGATCGACAGGACTATCATTCCACCTCCAACAAAGTTCAACGAAGGTAATATTTGATGGTGTAGTGTGGTTTAAAGCTTCATTTTTTAAACTTTAAAAATTATTTTGAAGTTTTTTTTTAAATAGTTTCATTTTTAAAAGTTATCATTAATAATTCCTTATTTTTCCAGATTACCTCAACGATTTGACGCTGTTCGAGAAGAAAGGCCTTTACAAGTTGAAGGAACTTCTCGGAGACTTCCGGAATCTGAATCTAAACCGAAGATTCTGCAAAGTTGCTGAAGGAATTCGACGACCAAGACATTTGCTACAGGATTTCCAGGTATGTTTTCTCCCTCGGGAAATAAACAAACAAGTCGTGGTGGGAGAAGAAAACAGTTTTTTGTTTTTTTATTTTTTTTCGGAAAATATTTTTTCAAGCTTTTTAAAGGTCGCTAATGTCTATAATGTTGCGTAAAAGCAATTTTATGGGCATGGAATTTGATTTTATTATCTAGATTTGTTTTATTTTAGCACATTTTGGACCACATCAGCTATATGGAACTTCAAAAGGACACAGTGTTGGTCAAGAACTCTCAAACCAACAAAATGGGAATCGAAAAGGTTGAATCTCAAGAGAATGGAGGTAAATTTGAAACGAAAGATGAAGATATGCCCGTTTTGAAGAATGAAGTATACTCAGATATTAACAACAGCCTGAATTCTCAAGAAAATCGCATTTCAAATTTCAATGAAAGCCAAGATTCTCGATTAAACTATAGCCAAGGTTCGGAAGCCAAAAGCCAAGCTGATAGCAATGTGAACGATGAAAATGTGTCAAAACAAAGTCGTTTAGACGATAAACAAAGCGTTGATAACAACGCAAGCCAAGAAAACACCGATGTTACACAGAATTCGACTGAAAGTCAAACCAAAACGGAAAATGGCGAAAATCAATTGAGCCAAGAGCCAGAGAAGATTAAGAAGCCAAAAAGGACGAAGAAGGCAACGAAAAATGAAGATGATGAAGAATGGACACCTGGACAAGAAGTGGAAAAGGCTGAAAGAAGCAAATCGAAGAGTGATGAAGAAGATGAGGATATTAACCTTGATGGTGAAACTGTGCCAAAGAAGCGGAAGAAGGAAAAACACGTGAAGAGAGTTAGCGGAATGATTGCTAGAGTTAATAGTAAGTGATTTTCGTTAGTTTTCGAATTTTTAGAGTTGAAATCAGAGATTTGTTTAGACAGTTTAACTCTTGTTTTGCAAGAGCGAATTCATAGTCTTAGTTTAGGAATATTGGAGTCTTTTTGATGCTTCAGACTAACTTTACTTTATTAGTACTTTGGCCAAAGTATAAATTATTTTAAAATCAAAAACTTCTGAAGTTTTAAAACAAAAGTGGGTAAAACTGATATTGTTATAGGCAAAGGAAAGATTACAAGTCCAACAGAACACAAGAAACCTGAAAGCTTTACCCAACCAGCAAAAAGAAGACGTTCCTACTTGAAATCGAACAAGGAACATCATAATAACACGTCAACTGAACATCCACATGGTTCGAAACATCCCCCGAAACATCATTTAGATGCTCCACCTCCAGAAGCAGAGGCACCAGTTGATTTGGTACCACTTGGACGCAAATTTAATCATCAACATGTTTCGAACTTGAAGAGGGTAAACGCTCACCTTGTTCCAGTGGCTGTACATGGCGCCAAGTTGACCATTCATGTTGATGAAAAGAAACCGAAGAAGCGTAAGTTTATATTTTTGTTGGATTTTGTGTTTTTAGGTCTCATATGGAAGAGCTGTTCATGTTTTATGTTATAAGGAGTCGTGATAACATAGCAGAACACATATCTCAAGGTTTTGAGATTGATTTTAAACTTATTTTTTTGTTTAATGTTGTGTTTGTGTAATGTAATATTTTTCAGACAAGATTAGCCATTCTCCCCATTCTTCTTCATCAGAACAACAAAAATTATTCAACGACATGTTCATGAGTCAACCTACCGAAAAACGAAAGGTTTCGTTGCCAAAACATAGTCCAACAAGTTCGCAAGCTTCAACTTCAAGCAAAGGTAATTAACTTGGTTAATATTTTGATCTTTAGATTGTTTTTATCTATGTTTTATGTTGTAATAGAGTATTCATGTAAGAAAAAGAAAGATTTGTGTTATTTAATTATGTTTTAACACAATTTACATTTTAGCTTATTCTCCGAAGCCAGCAATATCACCTATCAGTACCAGCTCTCCTGGCTTGTCGTCTCCAACCAAGTACCGACATGGTGGTGAGATCTAGCGTTACTAACTCTTGATTTAAAGAATAATTGTTTTCTTTAATAGTGAAAAGGATTTGATTTATGGATGTTTGTTAAATTATATTATTATAGACATTCCATACACGCCTACGAGACCAAACCTCAACTTGAGTGGAATACACACACCTTTTTCGGCTAGCAATCCCTACAATCAGTCGTTCAACTTTACGCCAGGTGGATATGATCCTAGAACGGTTATGTCACCGCCAGCAAAACCGGATAGGTATGTTTTTAAAACGTTTTGACTGTTTTGGAATTTTAGAACGGCTGTTTTGTTAAAGGGAAACCGTAAAGGATGATGAATATATAGTAATATTTATCTGTATAATTCGAATTTCTTCTTCCTGAAGTAAAGGGCTTTATAAAGTCACTTTTTGAAAAAATGCAAATTATAAAAATTTGCTGTTTTTCAAAATTAACGGTTTACTCTTTCAGCCAACTTCTTCAATCTAGCCTATATTCCCCAACTGCGAGGCCAGCTCCAGCCGCACCGAACAGTTTTAAGCCACCGCCGGTTGCATTCAAATACCAAAATGCGATGGACGAACTAGATGATATCAACAATATTCTAGGCATGGACAATTAGAAATTTTTAGTATTTTAATTATTTATTTCTTGTCTTGAATTAATTTTTCAAAAACATTGATTCGACAAATTTTTTATCTATTAGTTGTATATTTCTTTTGCCAAATGTTCTATTTTGTTCTATGCTGGCTGGTATTTGGTTCGGATGATCATATAATGGTCATAATTTGGTCTTTGTGACGTTGTTTTAGCTATAATTTGGTTATCTTGATCTTATTTTAGCTGCAATTTGAGTTTATGATTTTGTTTTAGCTATAGCTATACCTGGATGGCTTTATTTTAGCTGTAGTTTTGTCTAAATGGCTATAATGTCTTGCCAATAAGGGTGAACGTCTATGTTATGGCTGTAATACCGTTAAAACAACTGCGGTTGCAACCGTATTTCGAGGTTAAACCGCCGAACTTCTTAGTGTAACAGTTCGAGTTACGTATCGATGTAGTTGTACACGGGTATGACTATCAATATTTTGTAGTTATTGTTGTTTATCTAATAATGGTCTCACTTTGTAACATTTGTCAATTGTTATAATAAACCTTTTGTAATTAGGTTTAAAAGTAAATGTGTGACGAAGGTGGTAAGCGTTTTGTGATATACGTATGGCTGTGGTGCTGAATACCTTATAATGTTTTAACGTTTTTCAATGGTATTTTCTTGTTTTATTTGTAAGTTTCATCTGTTTTATGTTGTGATGGGTTGTAATAGCGAAAAGTTTTGTAAAATGAATTGAAAATTAGGCCGAAATAGTAAGTTAGTTACTTTATTCCCGTATTATGTTAGCTAGATTAGTCATATATCCATGGTGTTATTGATCTGGAGCATAGGAGGGACATATTCCGGTGAGTTTGCAGATTTGTACGGTGTGATTCTGGACGAGAGTACTCATGTATTCAATGTCATCATCGTCAGGTGCGCACTCCTTGGCAAATGAGTGAATTCCAAGCACGTAAAAAGGTCCGTGGTTCTTTCTGGCCAACATACCACCACCACTGTCACCCTGAAAGTTGTTAACATGTTTTTTTCTAGTTTATTAGAGTTATTACTATATTTTTGGGTTTATATTATAGTAGACCAGTTCAAAGATTGCTTCTTACCCCGCATATCCTCGCCTTTTGGTCCGTTGATTTGGCCGAAATAATATCAGGTGTAAAGTACTTGACAATTTTGGACGCAAAATAGTACAAACTTGATGCAAATGACTCGCTAGTCTTCCTCCCGAATCCAGTGCTATAGAACTTGTAATCCGGATTCTTGACAATTTTCTGATCCTGTGTGGGTAAGCAAGCGGGCAGCACGTGTTTTGTGAGCTGTACTGGTCGATCAAGTTCAGCAATTGCCAAATCATTGCCTTTTACGCACTTGTCACTGTTGAAGGAGTCGAGAGCAGCAAAATGTTTGATTTTCCGTCTGATTCCGTCAGCGTCGCTACACTTTGTGCCGTCGCGGAGACAAACTCCGGCAATGTTGACTGAAAGATCTTTGACCGACTTTTCTTTTGGACCTCTGAAATGTTGAAAATAGTTTTAGTTGTTTTAAAGATTGGCATGGAGGTAAAAAAAAACTAGATTTTCATTTAAAAAGTATAAATGCTCAATTTTGATATTGATGTTGTGGAGGTATAGTTAAAGAAGCTTAAAAAGCAGATGTAAATTGCACTTACTTGCAAGGCAGGTTGATATCAGAGTACGAGTAGAAACAATGGGCTGCAGTAATTATATGGCGGTCAGAAATTAACGTTCCACTACACTTTTCGTGGTTGAATATTCCTCTGAAAACAATTTTTTGTCAAAATTTTTCATAATAAACACGATTTTTGAAACTATCCGAAAACCTTTTCATAATGTTCATAGAAGCCAAATATCATATAGAACATAAAACTTACACAACAAACCCCACGGACCACGGAAACTGTCCAGGGCGTGCTGATTTCCCGTCATCAATCAGTAGTCGATACTTAGTGCTTGGGTCCGGTATCCGTCCGCAGAGATTCTGGACGATGGTGTTCTGTCTTCTTGTGATTTTTCGAATATTCTGTTTGGCTTCGGCGCTGAGTACGAACTTGGAACTGGCGCATATTGTAATGGGTACAAGTGTGGTGAGGAAAAAGAACAGAACGACCAATCTCATCGCGGAACCGACCGGGAAGTCGACTAATTTGTCGATTTTTTTTATTTTTGTGTATTTCAATTTGATTTTTTAAAAAAATTTTGAAATCAATGCTACCACTAAAGTTTACTATTGTCTAATTTTAAACTAGCACTTTCACTGAATGTGAATCCCACGTAATAGGGATAAAAGTTTATTGATGCGATTTTTTCAAATTTATTTTGTATGTATTAAATGGGTTTAACATTGAGGAATCGGATATAATGCAGACACAGGTTATGTTCTAAGATTGAGTACACGTTATATACAATAAGGTTTATTACAAGTTTTGTTTTGATAGACATATAATACCGGTTTTAGATAAAGTAAGAGATTTTTTAATTTAACAAAATAGTAGGAATCAACTAACTACACCAAGATCATTCAAAGAGCCGCCTTCTGGTGATCTGAAGAGACAACCGGCCTCGCTTGGCCACTGGTGAAACTGCGCCGGATTCCAGCTCGATGGCAGATGAGTTGAGTCTATCACCGTCTCGAAGCTGAAAATAGTTATGATTAGTAATGGTAATGAGTTTTTGACTAACTCATAAGTTTCGAACGAGTAAAAATATTAACAAGTGTTTAAAGTTAAACTTACTCCGCGTAGCCTCTTTGGTTTGTTTGGCCGTTTCTCTTGGGACGGTGGCATCTCGGCTCCAATTACAAACTGTTCTTCCAGTAGCACCCTCCTGTAGCCACGGTTCTTCTCGCAGAATACGTCCGGTTCTTGGTGATCGTGTGGCCAGATTTTTGTTTCGTATGCCACGATCTGATCCTCGGACAACGGAGGTGGGCGTTCCGTCACGCTGGCGTGTTGTCCCACAAATGGGTGGTTGACCAAACTGCCCGCAGCTGGTCTATCCAACGGTTCTTCGGCCATCATTTTTTTTACCAAAGATTTCAACTCATAGTTGAATTGGAGCTTCTGTAGAAGGCCCTCCAGATTAGCTGGCTCCAAGTCTTCATGTTCGGCCGCACGTCCCATCTTCACGTGGATAATTGACACGGCCAGAGCGTAGATGTCCACTCTGTCCGTGAATTCCTGGCGTTCTTTGCTTTCTGGAGCTGTGTAGCGGTCGTCGCCTCTTGGCAGCTCTTTTCGGGCGGCTTCATCATACTCTTTACGCATGATGGTCACGTTGAAGTCACAAAGCTTGTAGACTCCTTTCTTTGTGACAAGTATGTTGTCCGGTTTCACGTCGTTGTGGATGAACTTCTTTACATGTAGGTACTGTAAAGCTTCGGCAGTATCGGCGAGCGCTGCCCATGCTACTTCCTCCTTGGCCGCTGGTTCCTTCACGACTTTGGCAATGTAGCTCAATGGGTACGAGCACATTTCCAATACCATATAGGTGTAGTCCAGGTCGTGCCATGAAGCGTACTGCTCCACTATTTTACTGTTGTTGAAATGATGGAGTAGCTCCTCTTCTTTTAATGGGGTTTTGGCGTGGCGGGTTAGCTGTTTCACCGCGTAGTACTCGCCAGTCTTCTTGTGCTTTGCGGCAAAAACTTGGCCAAAGCTTCCAGTTCCCAGCAGCTCGTGCAGTTCAAACAGCTGTGTGACGTACCGAGTCTTGCTGGTCAAGTCTGGCTTCTGGAGCTCCAAGTTTTTAGTCCGGACGTTTGTTGGAGCGTGCGGCTCGTCCGGTTGAAGCTTGGCCGGACGTTTGAAGAGAATTGGTCCTTTCAATCCTCTGCACAGCGATCTGGGGATTCTGAGCTCCGGCGCGATTCTGACTTCTTCTGTGTAGGCGGCGGACGTTGATGGTTCCATTTTTGTGGTTGTTGAAAAATCTGAAACCGTAACAAATAGAATGGCAATGTTAATTTATTTATGAAGTCACGGAACTGTGTTCGCGGAGAAGTTAAAGTTATTTGTTATTGCACATTACGGTAAAAATTTATTTTTTTTTGCGTTTGCGTCTTTTTGGCCGTTATAAAATGCGATACTGGTGAATGCGTGGTCATAAAAGTGAAAAAGGCCCTTACTGTGCCGCATTGTTATTTCTAGTATATAAAATTCAAACGCAACTAATAGCAATATTGTTAGGAGAAGTTAACCTTGTGTATCACGCAGCGAACAGCGGTTTGAAAATGTGGTCATAAACGTGTAACAGCATTTAAGTTCGTTTCGGAGTGGCATAAAATTTTGAATCTCAATAAAAATATTGTAGCACAAATAAGTATAATATAATAATGGTAAACGATATTGTCATATCAAATAGTAAATATAAAAATTTTAACCAATATTTTAGTGGAATACATATATAATATATGGTCAAATATACCATACGCAGAAATAAATGACAAAAATAAACTACAACATACAAAAACACTTTTCGAAACGGTAGTTGCATTTATATCACAATATAATCATTATTAAAAAAGTTTTGTGCTACTTATCCGAACAAGCCCCGCGATAATAAAATCGTGAACCACCCATACCCATGAAACAAGTCTTCGATCGCACTCGCATTTTTACGGCGATGTAAGACAAGCCCACCTCCATTCTACTTCTCGATAGACGCTCTTTTGTTGCGCAACACTAGCACCCGTCGTATCTTTGAGTGAAACGTCCGTACTAGCGATCTGTGATCTTTGGTGGGATCAAAAGTCTTTCATGGTTAGGATTAAGACGAGCAAAGTTCATCTCGCAGTCTACTTACTATAGTTCGACGTAACAGCCAATTAGAAAATGCGAATTTTGGCGCCAAACCCCGGCTCCAAGGCCGAAAACAGATGAAGAAAGTATCATGTGATGAGTCATTCGAAATTCGCTGGGAACTCGTTACTTTTAACGGTTTTAAAGTGTTTGGGCATATGTTTACCTTTTTTGCTATGAATTTTAAAAAGTTGGTAAACATGGTTAAAAAAAGGCTTAAGTAAAATACGCTTGGGGGACTAAAACAGTTAAACATATAGTATTACAAAAATATTTAAAACAGTAGTGACTTGTACTATGGTTGAAGAAAACTAGTGAGGGGATTGGACACAAGATGCTTTGAGTTTGCTTCAAAGACCTTTGGTAATATTACACGGTATTAAAATCATGGTTCGACTTCAATATGGTACGGTATATATACATTAACATAACGTTTAGAAGAATAAAATTAAGTGATTTTAAATATACATGCATAAACGCTCTTAAAATATAGTAAATCTCTTGTATAAAGAACAACTTTTACAGTCCCCGGTTATCATTGAGCAGCAGGTTTAAAACGTTTATATATTGGAACTTTTTCACAACGAAAAATTTTAAAATTTTTGACCGATTCGTTATGCAGAAATGCTATTGTAGAATAAAACCCACAAAATTACACTACAACCCCCCAAAAAATCATCCCCACCACCCGGTCATCCAACAATAAATATAACATTATAAATGCCACTCTACGTCAAACCGACATATTGGCGACTATACCCCCAAAACCTCACCACCCGCACTTGCCACATCTCCCGCGCTTTCCTCCACTAGCTATTTTGCGCACAAAAAACACATTACTCCCCACTCGCTCTTCCGAAACGGCATCTCTTCGCTGATCATAATATTAGGAGTGCTAGCAACCGGCCCACAATCGACTGGTGAACGTGCGTTAATACGAATAAGGGGCGTGGCTTGTAATGAGATGTGTAATTGGGATGGATTAGGAGGAATCAATATAAATAACAAATATTGTTGTTACTGTAAGATGAAGTTAAGTACTATAGATTTACTTTCAAGCTAGAGTTGTATTACTCGTTGTTAACGAAGTAAAATTTTATAGTAATATTCAAGAAGGTCAAACTTTTAACATCAAATTGTTTACAAATTTGTACTGTGTTAGGTTTTAGGCAAGCATTTTTGGCTTGTTGTTCATACTGAAGCAGTTTAGTTTTAAGCTGGGGAGAAGGGTTAAATTTTCTTTTCTTTAAATGTAACCTGTGGTTTTTTTTATAATTTTTTTTTAACTTGACAAGGGGATCTAACTTAAGCTTATTTGAGGTTTTTTGGGTAATTCTTAAAGAAAATCTACCCAAAACGATAAATAAGCAATAAAAATCAAATTTGTAATCAAATGCTGAGCCAACGTGGCAATGTTAGTGGCTCTTCGTCGGTGAACTTGCTTTGGCGGCGCGACAAACAAAATGTTTAGACGGGCTGTATCAAAGCGCGCCGGATTGTAAACCTTTGCTTAATGAGGTGTAATGCTTTTTTGATGGATTCATCTTTTGATGTGGCAAAAAGTATTATGGCTTACGCCACTTGCTAATTGTTTTTGAGGTTTTTATTAGACATAGATGAAGTTCGATACAGGTAAAGGAAGATAACGTATCAGAAGACTTTTTATAAACGATGATACACAAATTGTAGAAGGCTACTGTAGTGTAAATGTCAGTTAAAATGATTAATATTTAACATTTTAGTAATTTCTATTATTTTATATTTTAGTTCATTTTAAAAGTTTTTTACAGCCCAATTTTGACAATTTTTTAAAAATTTGAAGGTAAAGTTTTTAACTTAAAACTTCCTTGTCGATTATAACCTAGCTAAACCCATAAACCTGATTCAAGCCACAATACGAACGATCGGAACATAATAAGCTTTATATTTATAATCTACTCGCCCGGACATGTCCATCTGCGTGTCGTTATATTTTTCTAAAGACCCAAAAAATGAGACTCCTTAAACAGCGGAGGCAGGTGTGTTTTCTCGGACACGCTTTTATCTACCCCCACTTTTTGAATGGCATTTGCGCATTAGCATAATTGAAACTTGAGTAGTGTTGAAGGTTGTGAATGGGACAGTTAAATCGAGATTATAGTTGGTTTTTAAAGGCGTTTAGAATAATGTGGAGTGTAACTCTTGTATAACGAACAAAAAGTTTTTTCTGAACTCCTAATGAGTATTAGCCCTATAATAAATTCTAACTACTGTAAAAATCCGACGTAGACAATGTAATCCGAGCTACAGTAAAATTAATAACAAGCTTGTGCAACGCGAACTTTCATTGACATTTGCAGCTAATTTTTGAGGGTATCCCACTGCGAGTCGCTCTTTTATGGGAACTATTTGCTTACCATCAATTCACTTGACTAATTGAGCCGTTCGTTAGTCTACAGGAAGTTATGGAAATGGGTGAAGCAGTGATGACTGTAAAACTAAAAAATTGTAGAAGGTCGACCAAAATTGAAAACATGCATGCAAATAACAGTATTTTGGACTATAGAGTGTACTGTAGCGTTTTTTGTACAAAGGTGGTTATTTTTATTAAGAAACTGACTAAAAAATGGAAAATGCATATTACAGTAAACCCGAAATTATGAATGTTGTAAAAATGATACTTGTTGTACAAAAAGCGAACCCCTGAACTCTTGAAAGCTTCGAACAGCTCGGTGTGTTCAAACAAATATTATTATCAATCAAAACAGCGAGAGTGACCAGTTCTTTTTTGACCCGTTATCAGTGCTCGAATCTGCTAATTCTGGCGATAAGAAAGCGATGTTTTTATAACCTCTAATTAATGTGTATATTAATCGAGAGTCAACAAATTCACTTTCAATGATTTGGCCATTGATAAGGTTAGGCTAGATCGTGATCATGTTACCATTGATAAGGGTATGTTAGGTATATTAGGCCGCAGTTATGATACTTTGTTTTAAAAAGCTGTACTACAGTAGAAGGGTATAATATGATACTACCAAAGACTAATTTTCTTTCTAACTACATATTAGATTGTTCAAATAGTTGTGAGCTCCTTTCAAGCAAACTTTCAGAGTTAGGAAGCACAGAATTATTTGAAAAACCTAATATAAAGGATATCAATAAAATTCAAACAGAACGCTCAATTCCCTCATTTATTCATTAAGGCACTAAATCAATGTCTACTGGGACAGCTGCTTATAATTCTTTTGTGATTTGCATATTTCCGACAAATTCTCCAACGTAAAAGGTCACAGATTTAAATATTCGAAAAGGTCAGGATACGCTAACATCTGGAGACTTGGCGTACGTTCGCAAGGTCACAAACATGATTGTATATGCAGAAAAGAGTTTACGGTAAAAGTGTTTACTGTCGATTTTATGAGGTTTGTTATGAACTATATAAGGGACTGTAAGAATCATTTTTAGCAAAATAAAGTACTAAAAAATTCTTGTTAGGCTTTGTAAACTGCCAATTGAAGTAAAGTCTTTCTTCACCTACACATTTCATTGTTTGCCCAACTGCCAACTCTTTGTAATAAAACGTCGTATTGTACCATCTAATCCACATCAAATGGGATCGGCACAAAACAGCTGTACTCTTGACCCACAAACGACTGTAATCTTGACTGCATCTCGACTCTCGAGCACGTGACAAACGCCTGTTGCAGTCGTTACATCACCGGCCCCTTTCTTACCATAATTGTAGGTCAAATGACGCAAATCAAGGCTTTTATGGCCATATTCGTCGCGAATGGCGGCGACAAGTCTTATGTAACGGTCGTAAAACCAGTGGAACCATGACACCATTTTGTCATAAACATTTGGACAGGCTGGATTGATGGGGATTTAATGGGATAGCTTTTATTGTTAATTTTTTACATAGTTTTAATAATACAGGGTATAAAAATGTTCTACTGATATTATACAACTCATAGTAGAGAGTTAAAAAGGTCTTGTCGTTTCTAGTCCTGCAAAGTAAAGATCACTTGCGACAAGACTTTTTTGACTCGTTTAAAATATTTCTTGCCATAATAAAATAAAGTAATATTAAACTTCTTTAGTATGATCTTTGATAGTATGACACCCTCTTTATAACGACCAACCTCTGACCGCTAATTGTGACAGAACTTCTAGCATAAATTATCTGAATATTGTGAGTTTCTAACTATTTATGGCACTTTGCTTCAGTCCTTTGAGTGTCATACTAAAGAGGGTAGACTGCAATGTAAAAAAGAAAATTCAAGCTTATGACTGCCTAAAATCCGTCCAAGCTTATAACAACTTAAACATCAATAAACCAAAAATAAATCAGTAGTTTATTTAAAAGTCAGCCAGCTTTACAGTTATATTGGGCAAGTTGTGCTTGATCAACTTTTTGGCTTTGCATCTTTTGTCTTTTCCGATTTAGCAGCTTTTGTCTCTCCTGGTTTTGCAGGGTTGGCCCCTTCTGATTTGGCATCTTTTGTCTTTTTCAATATCGGAGCTTTTGCTTTAGGCTTCTTTTCTGACGCCTGACTCTTTGAAGACTTTGAAGTTGAGGTACTTATAGAGCTGGCCTTACTTGAAGTTGTAGAGCTTGCCTTACTTGAAGTCGTGCTTTTTGCTGAAGACTTCGGCGGCGAGACGTTACGTTCAGATGCTTGGGAACTGAAAATATTAAAGTTAAGAAAATTTTTAAAATATACGTTTTAATTTAACTTTAAAAGTAAAAAATATAACATATTGAGCCATAAAAATTACAGTAGTTTAAAAAATTTTGCTTTTTTGCTGATTTACCTATGATGAACTATCCGCTTCAGAATCTTGGTCCCACTTTGCTCATTCACAGCCTCAACCTCGAAAGTCTCTGGCAATTCTTTGGCCGTAATCGTATCTTCAAACGTGATATCGTCCCATGAACCTCCTTTCTTCTTCTTATCTTTCTTCTGCTTCTTCTTCTGGGCTTTGTCCTTTGCCTTTTTGGACTTGTCTTCTGCCTCTATAAGCTTGTCCTTGTCTTCTTTGTTCTTGTTTTTGGCCTTTTTGCGACACTTTTTGGGCTTTCTCTTAAAGTCCCAATATTGAGTCGTCATCCTCATACCAACCAATGCCATTGCAAACCAAAACGCTGACAACCCAAAGTGCCACAATATAAACAGTATCGCTGCCATAGCTTAAAGTTTATAAATAGTACTCAAGTTTCATTTTTACCTCTGACATTTTTATAAAAACGTCCGTATTTTACAAAAAAATCGATAAAAAACTTAATATTTGAATATCTTATAGCCATGAAAAATATTAACTTACTCAGTAAAATATAGTCAGTAGTATCTTCAAACAGTTACGACTTTGAAAGTCAGCAAATCGACCGGTCCCACCAGTCTTCAAGTCATTAAAAATGGTTTTATAATTTCCAAAAATTTTTTACTAAAGTAAAAATAGAGTTTAAAATTTTTAATTATATACATATTTTTTAATTTTAGGTTAATAACGATTTTATTATAAGTTATTCACTGTTTATATTACTCTTTTGGCACACACTGTTTCGCAAAAGCCAACTGAGAGAAAACAAGAGAAAGCGAAGCAGTGGTCTTGTAGTGTAGTGGTTATCACGTCTCCTTCACACGGAGAAGGTCGCCGGTTCGAACCCGGCCAAGACCTAATGCTTTTTTAGGCCTTTAACTTTATTTTTCTATATTTTCACAACTAACAAACGTATTTTACCTAAACCAATTAACAAAAAAAAGCTTTTTAATTAATATTCCAATTTTATTTTAATAAAAATGGCATAAAACAGACTACAAACGCAAAAAAAACGAAGATATAACAAGATTTACCCGGAATAAAGGATAAGATAAGATTAAAAGTGATTGGAGATCATGATATGATTAAGTTAATAACAAGTTAATGAAAAAAAGCTAAGAAAATTAAATTATACATATTAAAAATGCAATTTGTTCACATTTCTGTTGAGATTGATATTGTTGTAGGGTTCAATTCCATCGGTGTTTTACTTATGTTTACCGTGATTGGATTCTGTAAAAAGTTATCGTACAATATAAAATTTAAGATACTGTATTACTATTTTTAAGTAAAAATTTCCACTACGTATTTTACACAAGCAAACTTACCGGTATTTCCTCCACAACAGGTGATATGATAAGGTAGTCTGATGAAGGGTCCCAGTCGGATACTGTAACATTTTTTGATTACTTGACATTATACATTGATAAGACTTAATATAAATTATCAGAACAGCTTACAAGAACGTATTTTACAATCAAAAGAATGGTTATTATCTTACTTTGCCGTTGACCAGAATGAATCAGATTTTCATTATCAGCTTGACATATCGGAGTGTTATACCTTGGCCATACAACACATATACAGAACAAGATAAAGAAAAACGGCAGTAAAATACCTGTAACATATCATATTAAAGTCATTTGTAAACCATTCCCATCGTACTCCCTCCCGCTATTCAACTTTACCGTACCCCATCTCACCGTATCTATGCCTCAAAAACTCTACCTTTTGTTATGATTTAAAAAGTTCCTACAGATGTGTAAAAGATTAAAACACCTTACCTGTAATAATCCCGGCTATAATAACCAGTAAAAAGATGGTTGTATCCATAACAAGTAAAATATATAAACCACCAATATTATAGTAGAAACAGTTAATCCTCCCTAAACTGTTTTGACAAACTTTTATTTCCGTATTAAGTCGACCAGAAAGTGGGCTGAAAATTGAAATTCAGAAATAACAAAAGTCGAAAATAACCCGCAAATTTTATTTCTGTGTTATTCGATACTTTGTCAAAACAAGACGTGTGGGGGATGGTTCAGGGGTTATATTGCTGCTAAATTGAGGTAGGGTATGATAAGGGACAATATGGGTAAATGTTAGGCTGTTACACTTGGGTTATGATTTGATTGATATAAAGGCACGACTAGAGCAGAGTACAGCAAATCAGAGTAAGATAGGGAATAGTAGGTTAAGGTAGAGTAGAGCATGCTTAAGGGATGACAGTGTCAGGTTTGATTGTTCGATGAACAGACTGCATGATACGATTTGAAAAGATAAGACATTGCAGAATAAGACGACATACGTTGAGTATAAGACTGAACATGTAAAATACATAGGGTAGAGTAGAGTACGACAAGGTAGGGTAGATCTGTCTAGAACTAAAGTTAGGCTTAAAACTAAGATAAAACTAAAGCAAAAGCTAAAACTATGGTTAAGACTGGAACTAAGTTTAAATTTAAGGCTAGGATTAAGGCTAGAATTAGGGTTAAGGCTAGAGCTGAGGCTAAAACTAGGACTAGAGCAAAGGCTGGGTTAAAGCTAGACCTGACGCTAGGGCTTAAACTGGGGCTTACAGTAGAGCTACGGATAAGGCTAGGACTAAAGCTAGAGCTAAAGCTAGAGCCGAAAGTAGTGATAGACTATGCCTGGAAAGAGTTTAAAAATTCAAAATTTAAATTTTCGAAATCTAAAAACTATTTAAATCCGATTTAAAACTCCAAAGCCTACCACAACTTATGTGAACAATTTCTCAAAAGACTAGGTAATTAACATAAATGTAGCCGGCGGCGTCAAGAAAACGGAAAGTTAACATAGGGAAAACAAATAAAAACGTTAAAAAGTAATTAGCAACTGACTTGACTACGAATTACTGGGCCTGATGACAAAACAATCTCTCGGTCAGTACGTGACATTATTTACCGAAATTTGTGCAGAATTAAGCTTTTGTTTACTGTTGTAGGTTACTGTAATTTGTAAAACATAATAATGTAGAGTTGGCTAGAAAATTCAAGTTGATCGGTCACAAAATGAATAGAAAATTGAAAAAAGGGTGTATTTTTAGGCTTTATAAGTATTCTATGAACTTTTCGGCAAAAAACCATTAAAATTTATCTTTAAAAGGTACTGTAGTGTAATTTATGTTTAAAGTAAGATTTTTGGTTGAAAAGTTTAAAGAAAACGTTAAAAATTTAAAAAAGATAAAATTAAGTCTTTCTTTTTACTGTAAAACCCATGTCATTTCATAAAGTGCCATTTCATGATAAGAAACACTATAAACAGCAGTAAAAAGATACATTCGAATAGAGAGACTAACACAACAATTGAACGGAAAGAGTAAACAAAATGGCCAAATTGAATTAAACTACCGCTCCGTAAGTTATTATGTCCAAACGAGTAAATTGACAGATCTGTGGACTTTTCAATACCCTACCCTATCTTAACCTACTTTACACTGCCTTACCCGAAAATTCTGGGCCTTGCAACGCCCTGCCCTGCTTTGCCCTGTACTGTCTTGGCTTGCCTTGCCCTATACTTTACCCTAATCGTATCACATCAACTATAGTAACCTATAAAACTTTCCAGTACTAAGTGATGCTAAAAAGGTGTAAAATGTGCAAAAAATCGTAATTACAAATTAACTATTCCTTCCAAGCAGGGACGTCGTTTGGGGGGGGGGGGCGGTTCGGGGTGACTCCCCCCCCAGAGCCGATCCGAAAAAAAATCCACAGGTACCTGTACGCGGAAAAACAAAAAAAAAATTTTTGAAAAATCGGTCCACAGGTACCTGTGGACCAAAAAAAATTTTTCGACCTCCCCCCCCAGAGAAAAACCGTAGCGACGTCCCTGCTTCCAAGTATTTAATGTCAATTTAATAAAAATACCACTCAAAAAGTAGACTCAAATCATATTAAACACGCAATGTCGTCATGCAGCAAAGCAACCCGTGCCAATTGACAAACGATACGTTTTTGACAGTAAAAAGTTTTTTAAATTTGATAAAAAATCAAAATTTTAAAGATGTAATTTTTTAAAATTATTGTCGTCTTTTGCGCCGGTCAAAAGGCCAAAAAAGGTTGCACGGTGCAAAAAAAAAGAATATAATTTGCACGGTGCAACGCCAAAAACCATAAAATCTTTAAAATTTCAAAACTCAGTTTTGACTTCAAATAAAAGTGCTCATGCACTATTATTTTAATACCTATACTTGTGCACTTGTCAGATTATATACCTAGATATTCCACAGTGAAAATTAAAATACTTTGTTTCAACACATATCAATTGCCATATTTATTATAATTCTACTTAATAACCATAATATAATAATAAATGTATTTATAATTCAAACAAAAGACAAGTAGTAATTATTACTCACGAGTTTTGTTTGAAACTACAACAATATTACATTTACTAATATTAAAACGTATCAAAAAATGTAAGAAGCAGACATACTACCATATATAAAACGTTTTAAAAGTAAAATATATTTGCGATGTGAATAATATGTATATATATATATACTCCCGTTATAGTTATAAAGAGCCCTGTCACACCCTACATTATTCTATCATACCTTACATCTAAAATACTTTTCCCTGTCCTAGAATACCATATCCTGCCCTAGAATATCTTACCGTACTCTACAATATCATACCCTACCCTAACATACCTTACCCTACTCTAGCATACTTTACCCCTAGTTTAGCATACCTTTCCCCTACTTTAGCATGGTTACCCTAGCATACCTTGCCCTACCCTTATAGTCAGTGTAATACAAAACAGAAAAATAATATTTAAAAAACAGAATGTTCAGTACACATGCATATTTTCATCAAAGTAAGTAAGAAAATACAAATACTCGCATAACAGATAGATTTATGTATATGACACATATGTATTTCCCTAATATCAAAATCAGAACAACATAAAGTACATCAGTAATGAGATATCATTCGAAAAACAAGGAAGATCTTGTTACATATTATAGTTATAGTCAATATAAGTAAAAAACAAAATAGTGACAGTTCTTTTTTGACTTTGCAAATAAGTGAAGTAATAAAAATAATAACAGAAGCCATATTGCTGCTTTAAAGACAATATAGAGGCTGATAAACTACGTCAGTTTTTTAAATATATTTAACAAAAGTTACGAAACTCTCGTTATAGTCAACAAATATCATATAAAAACGGTATAGCTAACAGATGACAATACCAGATCTGTAACCAGTTTCTAAGCCCTGCCAGATGTTCTGCTTCAGGAAAAAGAGGTAACTCAAAAATAACACGAAACTCGTCTATATTATAACACTAACGAATGCAACGTAGAATTTACTTGTAATACTAAAGACAAGATGCAATATTAATACTATATTTTCACCTGTTTTTCTTGTAAGGTAGAAAAAGTTGTACTTTACATACGAAAGCGCTATTCTTTGACTAGTTTTACGTACATTTTTAACTTTACCCTATCCTTTCCTACCAACCTCACCCTACCTTGTTTTCTCTATCATAACTTGTCCTACCCTACCTTACCTTACCCTACTCTCAATTATTAAAATAATATCTTTTTTAACCCATTTTAATACTATTGTAGCCTTACCCAAGCCCAATCCTTGCCTTATTTTGGGTTTTACATGCCATCCCCGAACCTAAAATAAGTTACTGCCAAAAAATATAAAATGTCTAAAATACGAAAGAGTATTAATGTTAAAAACCTTACACTACCGGACAATACACTATCTCGTAAGCTCAATATTCAAGCAAAAAAATCTTGCAAAATACCTTTACTTTCCCACAAATTTTAAAAAATTAATTTTTTGAAAAAGAGTGAAAAACGGCCAATTTCTGACAGTATTGTTATTTGAATCCCGCAGAAGTAAATAAGTAATATTCGCGGTAAACATTCGTATATAAACAATATTTTGTTTAGGGTTAACCCTTACTCTATGAGAAGATATTGAGAGTTGAAAAGGATGCTCCCCGAAAATGGGAGTATTTAGGCCTGTAGAGAGAGACTGTTAGGGTATAAATTGGTTTTTAGCTTATGGTACAAAACAATTTAAATTAGTACAGTAAATGTAAAATACAGGGACCCCAGGGGCATAAGGATGATAATTTAGGTCTGAAAGAAGTGTAGCAAAATAAAATTTTTTTTTGAAAACTTTTTCCAAAGTTAGTTCTCGAAAATTAAAAAATAACATACAATGCCACCCCCCCCCCTCACCTCCTCCCAGCCAACCGCGCCCTGAACACCCTACCAGCGTTAATCCAAAAGTCTACCTAATCATTAAGCCTAAACTTCTAAAGCTCAACGAAACTTCCTTAAAAACTAATCTTTAACCCATTAAAAGTCAAAAATTTATAAAAAACATTTTTAAAATTCGAAAACCCTCGAGGAACGAAGGAAATGGACAATTTATTAGGCAGTAATTATGTTTAGTTGGCTAAGCCGCCCTCAGGGCGGGTTTTGTTTTGGACAGGCGAAAGTACACAGAAATAAATAAATCGTTGGGATGAATATACAGACAGGGAACGTACGTCAGGGTGCTGTGTTATGACAGCACATAACAATTTTATGACTAAAGAACAGCCTCTACCGTTTAATGCCTTTATTTTTAGCCGGAGGGTGTTTAAAAATGTTAATATGTTATTGTAGGGTTGAAGAAGAGAATAGATTTATATAGATTTGGAAGTAAAATTTCTATTGCGCTATCTTACCCGGCCTTGCTCTGTCCTGCCTTGCCTCCCCTGCTCTTCTCTGCTCTGCCTTGCAATATCCTGTCCTGCTTGCCATCTCATTCCATACCCACCCTGCCCAACCCTAGCTCTAT